CTGGGATTTAGACCCCAAACACTACTTACGGAGTAGTATATTTTATGTTGTTCGTTTAGTTGCGTTGGTTTGGGTGCTACCCCGTCCATTTTCTAATGGGATTTTAACCTTCAGCGTGGGAAGGCATTGCGGAGAACCACCATCCACACTCCTTCAGCTTTGTAGCGCTGCCTTGTAGCTGTTTCGCAGCCGATTATGCTGGAAGCCACCCTTTTCCCTTGACAATATGCTCAACATAGCGCAAATTCAAGTTGTGGGTATGGCGTCTAAAAGATACCTCACTATATAGGTATATCGGTGTCTTATTAATAAGAATGGTTTGGAGAGATGAAAGGAGAGATGCACTACCTATCTTTGTTGCATGTTCAACCATTTCATTTCTTTGAGATGCTGGGTATTCCAGATATATAACGTACACAGCCGTTTTGAACCTTTTGCAGTTGGAAAGCCTCCTGTTGAGTTAGACAAGTACAATAAACGTTAACAGCATATTCAAGTTTGTTTAGGACTGAACTATTTGAAAGCTTCATTAAAAGAAGTTTTGAAATCCAATACTACAGTTAGGTGTTATAATGACGCATTGCGCCAAATGAGAAAACATATGATTGATCTCAAAACTTCATTGCGTTAAGGGATGAAAACTTCAAAATTTCGTGGAAATTATAGCAAGGCCCTAAAACGTAAAAAAAGAAATAGCTACTCAAATTTGATAATCATCCCAGACAATAAGAGTAAGACCGTAAGGAAAAATAGCAACCTATGAAAAGGTTTCGAAAATTTCTAGAAAAAAAACCGAGACGCGGAATCGAACAAATTCAAGCCTAAACCCGTCTTTCCTCGTTTAGCTATCGAACGAAACTGATCTCGAGTCGATATTTCGATAATCGGCGAGACGGCTGATAAGCAACCGCCCTTACCGCGTGAAGATCCACCGAGTTTGCCGGCCGTTTTCGATCGCGTTTCTTCCTCTCACCGCGCCGGTTCTCGCCCTCCCGCGAAGCGCCGACTGTCTAGTTTCCGAAACGGTACGGCTTTCCCTTCGAACCGGGAAAAAAACCGGAAAAACCGCGTCGACGTCATACGACAAATTCGCTGCTCCTACCAAACGAAACAATCGATCACCGCTTGATATAGTCGATGACCCGCCAATAGACGCTTAAAGCAGGGGAAAAGTGGCACGAGTCCAGAGTTGAACATCATCTTTTGTTTGTTACGTTACTAGTTTTGAGTAAAAGTACATTTTGTAAAATCTATTTTACCAATAAACACACTGTTTAGCAAAAATATTCTTTACGACTTATTTTTTCATCAATTTTACTTTCCAACAAACAAGTAAACCTTAATTACCGATTTTCTCAAAATCAGTCCGGATGGACTATTGTCGTTATTCCCCGGTACCCTTCATGTGCATTTGGTCTGAAAACTACATTACGCACGTTTACCATTTTTGCGACTCTTGCGAATATCTTCCTATTTCTCAAACACTAATCATATAGGGTTGTCCAATAGGGACGCAGGAAAGTAAACGTCAATTTGACATAGACGCCATCTTTGTTTTCTGTCACCGACATGTCATTTTGTTAGTTGAATGTTTACCATTGATCGCTATGGAGTCGTATTCGATTGAAGACCGCATTAAAGTTATTCAAGAGCACTACAAAAATGGTGCAAAAATAAAAAACACGTTTCGCGCGCTTCGTGAACATTTCGGTCGCAACAACCGCCCAAACGAAACAACCATCGGTCGTCTGGCGAAAATTCGAGGCAACAAGGCTCTGGCCGGCCAAGGAGCGTTCGCACACCGGAAAATATTGCTGTTGTGAAGGAGAGTGTGAGAGACGATCCGAAACAATCAACACCGCGTCGATCCCAAGAATTGGGCATTTCGAGAACCAGTTTGCTCCGCATTCTCCACAAGGATTTGAATGTACACGCCTACAAGATCCAATTGTCGCAAGAGCTGCGTCGGGCCGACCATTTTTCGCGCCGAACGTTCTCAGATTGGCTCCTTGAACACCGCCAAATTGATGCCAATTTTTCATCAAAAATCATGTTCAGTGACGAAGCGCATTTCACTTTGAATGGGACGGTAAACAAGCAAAACTGCCGCATCTGGGCGAACGAAAATCCCCGTGAGTATCAAGAGCAGCCGATGCATCCTCAAAAAGTGACTGTGTGGTGTGCATTGTGGTCAAAAGGCATCATCAGACCTTACTTTTTCGAAAATGCGGCCGGGGACGCCGTTACCGTCAATTCTGAGCGATATCACGTGATGATAGAGGACTATTTTTTGCCGCAACTTGAAGGAATGGATATGGACGATGTTTATTTCCAACAAGACGGTGCAACATGCCACACAACCAACGTCAATATCCATCGATTGCAGTCCTTCTTCGGTGATCGCGTGATTTTGCGCAGAGGAAATGTGCCATGGCCACCAAGATCGTGCGATTTGACTCCCTTGGACTTCTTTTTATGGGGATATTTGAAAAGCAAAGTCTACGTCAACAAACCAGCCACCCTCCAAGAACTCAAAAACAACATCATTGCCGAGATAAATGCCATAGAACCGACCATGTTGCAAAATGTCATTGAAAATTTCGACCATCGCGTGGACGTCTGTAAATCCAGTCGTGGTGAACATTTGAGCGATATTATTTTTCATACATAAATGGTATAAATGAACCTTCAAAATAAAGTACCCAACTTGATTTGAATATCAATCTTTCTTGTTTTAATATGCGTTTACTTTCCTGCGTCCGTTTTGGACAACCCCATAGTAAAAAAATGAGATTGCTTTATAGAAATATTTTTCGATACCACAATTATATTATTCCAGTGTTTTTCTAACTTCCCTGTAGCGCTACGTTAACTCAAAGAGACAAACAGGATCTCACACCATTTTCATCAGTTTCAGAAAGTAGGGAGAGAGTTGAAAGCCTTTCCTTGACCCACTTTTCTAAATTTGTTATTCTGAAAAACACCCGACGTTCACGTTACACAAAAGATTACTAGTCACGCCTGTCACACTATATGATATGAATGTGAGTTTTATACGTTCCGCGATGTCTGGTATTGTATATGTATACGTATTTTATTCGGTATCGGAAAACTCGTTGATACGGCTTCAGCCTGTTGAAGAGGATATAATAAATATAGCTGAAAATATTCTGTAAACGATAGAACGATTCGCGGTGTCGGTGTTATTGTTGAGAAAGTGCGAATGGATTTTATTTTGCACCGGTGAATATTCAGAACCGCGTTATATATCGAAAAATACGCAAGTAAACAAGTTGTTGGAAATACTACTTTTGTTTGTGCAGAATCCCCGCTGATCCTCCACGGTTTCTCGTCCTCAGTAACTTGATATAAACGAAACAAATGCTCTTGAAAAATCCAGATAAAGTTACCATTATCGTTAATATTTATTACCTCATCTTACGAGTTTTGCATATGGAAATAAAACAACACGATAGGTAGTTTTAAATGACTGTATTGTTTTTCGAAGTATTCTCCACGAAGATTAATACACATCTGCATGCGCTCGAACCAATTTTGGCAAACAAATGATGGTATACCAATCCGCAGTAACAGTTCTTTGCTCATGAAGAGGAATTGTTGCTATAAGACCCGCTTTTGACACAATTGTCGCGACCATCTTTTTCGAAACACTTCGAGAACGGATGACTTTTGTTGGCTTTTCTTCACCTTGGAACACCCAAACAGCCGACTGTCGTTTAGTAGTTCATAACAGTAAATCCACGATTCATCACCACTAACAATGCTGTACACATTTTTTGAGTTTCCGGAATTGAAACTGTAAAGTGTTTTTTGGCACCAATTTCTGCTCTTCAGTCAACAGGTGGGATATCCCACGAGAATTCTTTATGTAACATTTTTTTAATTGAAGTCTTTGAGATCTCCAAGGACGTCTCAATCTCGCGATATGTCACATGTCTATCTTCAATGATGAGTTTGCGCACAGCATCGACGTTTTCCTGGGTGACTGTCGCTTTTAGTGCACCCACGTTTGAATTCTCCATACCAACGGGAAATTGTCGACTGATGTGGCTCTTCGTTGCCGAAAACAGACAGTAACTCAGCAAGGCATTCTTGTTGCGATAATTGTCTCTCAAAGTGGTAATAAATTATGGCGCGAAAATGTTCTCAGTTGAGTTCCACTTTTCTAATGACTTGGTGACACTTGAAAATTCACTGTAGTGAGAACACTGACAGTTGGAAATATCATGATCGTAATGTAAAGTCGAAATCGAATGTGTTGTCTTAGATGTGTGAAAAATTCTAGTCAAACTAGACATGTAATGTAGTTTTTATTGTCAGTCGGATAGGCTAGCTTGAAATGTTACGAAAACAAAAAAATATTAAACTTCCTTTGTCAAATTCATTTGTCGGTCCATCTTTTTCAACTTTTCTCGATGATTTTGCCGTAAATAAGCCGAAAACGCCGTTTTCACCGAGATAAGCACCGTTTTACACCAAACAATCACAATAAATCCATTTTTCAGCGTGCATTTCGCTTGTCTCGAGAACTGAGCTTACGTTCACGAACCCGCGTGGCTTCCTCAGAACATTAATGACTTACTTTTTGAGATTTTGCTTGATGTGATAGTATGTCGGAAGTTGGGTCGCCCTATATAAGTATCGTTATGAATTGAAGACACAAGTGGATAAAGGTGTCATGTCACAAAATAATAATTCTGAGAAAAATCACTTTAAAGATTTCCGATTGGAATTTTTTTATGCATTCAATTTCAGGCATTTTATATAAATGTTTTTTTAAATAGCATTAAATATTTTCTTTGTCTCTTATTTAACTTGAAGACATGTTGATATTTTGAGAGAAAATGTACTTTGAAAGTACATGACACCTTTATCCATAAGAAGTTGACAAAACCTTGTGTTTACGGGAAATGAAAAGAGGTGTTATGTACTTAAACATTGGTATTTTATTGCAAAAGTAACAAAAATCTCAAAACTCATCAAAATGAACCAATTGCTTTTCTTTTTTTCTTGGGATTCTCTTCGTTTTCTTCAAAAATTTTTTCATAGAACCATTTATACTCGTTCTTGACAAACTTTAACTGTTCACGCAAGTTACTCAACTTTTCTGCAGTAAGTCCACCTTTTTTCTCTGTGATTCTGCGTAGTGTAATATTGTCCTCCTTACGTATCACCCTACTTCCTTTTTTAAATAGATTTACTTTATGAAAAGGTGAATATTCATCCAGATTTTCTTTATAAAAGTAGCTGCCGAACTCATCAACTCTAATCCATTTGACACTATCTCTGAAACAGATTTTTTGTCCCATATCATTAGTCTTTTTATTCCAAATATGCAACTTCCCTGAGAGTTCGTTAAAGTCATAGAAGTAATTTTCCATATCGAGGGTAGCACAGTTTTTCGTACTTGCAGATTTAATTAGCAAACGGTATTGTTCGGGTACATAGATATTCTCAACCTTTCTAAGTTTTTTTTCTATTCTGCCAAAATTTCTGTCTGAGTCTAGGTAGCTGTGTCCAACTTCTGGAAACTTATGATCGATGACTTTCAATGTTCCATTTAAAATTAAAAATTGATAGAGACTGATAATATTGAAGTTTTTATTTTGGCCTGCACAAGAGTCAGACCAAATGATTAGATGATTAATATTTTTGTGAGATTCTTTGAGCTGCTGACAAAATCGGAGTAAACAACTAGCTATCTCAATACTTCCTCGTATTGCTACATCTTCGGTCCAATTGAAAAAAAAAGGTTTTGATCCACTAGCAGTTACACAATGGATACCAAAATTATAGTACCACATTTGGCGAAGGTAAAAAGCTTTACTGGTAGATAATTTTGGTAGTGGCATCGTTTGTTGCATATCCATAGTTATATAGCAGGTATCTTCTTCCATTGATGGTCTTTCTCTATCACGTCTCTGTGATTCAAATGCAGCTTTAAAGTTTTCTGTATGCAGATCTGTGTTTTGCCCTGAATCACAAACACTACACGTGTCACTTCTAGGGTGGCCAAAAGATAAATTGAACTTTGTACAAAATATTTTAGCATAGGAAGAAAGTGTCACTTTGAAAGAATCATCCAGTTTTCTGTTTTCACAGTCTTCGATGTACAACTTATACATTGTAGCCATATTAAGGATAGGTGACAAATATTTTTTATGACAGTTTTTATTACGTGAGTAATGTGACTCTTCTGAGGGGAATTTTTGGATATGATCCATAATGCACGCAATGACATCCTCTTTAATTTTATGAGGTCTGTTTTTGTGTTGACCTCTTTTGTCAGGTGTTGGAGCATTCATTCCTTTTTTCAGTGTTCTTTGCATAAGTTCAATTTTCTTTCGGCTAATCTGATAAAGAGAACATAGTGCACCTCGGCATATGATTTCTGTTTTTCTATTAAAAGTAATGGAATAACTAAAAGAATATGTTTTTTCTTTTTTTACATTAGTCCTATGTCTTGCAACCGGTTTGATGTTTATGCTTTTAAATAACAAAGCATTTTTTGCGTTTATATCTAATGCATAATACTTTTCTAAAATTGCTTTTCTATCTTCTAAAAGAAACTTGTCAGAGCAATGTAATCTGCATTTTTCTTTGCACAGCAATCCAGAATTTATTTCTTTTTTTGACATAACTTTCCCTGTTTGAGAAAGATACTCTTCTCCTCTTGCTCTTAAAATTGCAGATTTTCTTCTACTCCACTGATCTGGATTCCTAAGACGTTTCTTAGATGTTTTATCCTTCAACTGAAATATTTTCTTTTTCACTCTTTCTCTTTTTTCTTCCAAAAAATGGTCATCTTTTAAATTGGGCAATCCAATATCAGCAGTAATATGCGATATAAATCGATTCTCAGGAGTTAATTGAGTACTTGAGCTTTGGTTTGAGTCATGCCTGGTTTGAGATAATAGCTTGTTTCGAACGTTGGATAACAGCTCATTATCTGATTCATTACTCGATTCGGTTTCGGAGATATATTCACTGCAGCTTGTGACATCCTCATCGCTGAAATCTTTATGAGACGATGGAGACTGGTATATATCTAAAAATAAACAATAAAACTAATTAATTACCTCTTTTAAAATAAATATTGATTGCGTCCATACCTCTACTGGTACTGGGAATAATTGATATCCAAGGATTAGCTGTTAGATTTTTAATGAATTCTGCATCATTTTTATTTGTGCTAGGTTTAGAACAAATATTAAGACAAGGAAACGTCTTAGGGTTATTGTCTATATTTTCGCTCTCTTTATTTCCAAAACTTCTCATGGGACTAATTGATCCATCGTGATTAGTTTCTAAAATCAATGCAAAATCAGTACAAAATATTAAAAGCCACTAATTTTGTACCTGGTCTTGTAGTACATGCTTTTTGTTGATCCTCTAGAATCTTTAAAATGTATTTTCCTCTAGACATCACTGAATATATTATGTTAGTAAACCAACAGTTTCAAAAACAGCACTCTTACACATAACCATTGTATAATAAAATCCAAAACAATGACATACCTAACCTCAAATTCAAATGTCATGCTGTGGATTCTCGACAGAAAATTTACACTTGACAGTGGATAAAGGTGTCATGTTACCTTGACCCCTTTATCCACTGTCAAAGGCAAAAATATGGGTACATAACACCTTTATCACTTGAATATCTAGGTAATTCACAAATATTGTATAATAACGAGACTTGATAATGAAAGAAAAGCAAATCTTAAGCCTATTGAACGAAAAAAACACGTTTTTGAAAAAATGTTACATGACACCTTTATCCACTTGTGTCTTCAATTTACAAATTTTGGTGATAAACAGCGATATTAGGAGTAATATATATATATAACTTGAGACGTGGTCATTGTCGTCTAGACCAGTTAGGTGAAAAATTAAAGCTTCCGCCTTTTGTTGGGTACTTCGACAAAATTTAAGCAAAGAGGACTCTTTATACTTTTTTAATTCTCTCTAGCTTTCAATGGACTTTGCCATCATCATCAGGAGCTGCAATTACAATGATAACAGTAGCAACAATAGTGTAAAATCAATTTAAATTGACTCAACTTACAGTAGTATGTGACAACCTTCGGCCTTCTGTCAAAGGGTTCATCTCGCTCATTATTCCATGACCACCATTTTGTGCAATCATCAAGTGGCTTCACGATGTAATGCTTTAATGTTTTTAAATAATTTTTAATCTGTTTTTAACTTGTTCTTGTCATATTTTATATAATTTTGACCATTGTACCATCTATCCAGCTCTCACCATGTTACTGGACGTTTCCCTCATCCTATACGTAAACAACAATTAGCAACATCCTCACATACTACTGTAAGTTGAGTCAATTTAAATTCATTTTACACTATTGTTTCTACTGTTATCGTTGTAATTGCAGCTCCTGATGATGATGGCAAAGTCCATTGAAAGCTAGAGAGAATTAAAAAAGTATAAAGAGTCCTCTTTGGTTAAATTTTGTCGAAGTACCCAACAAAAGGCGGAAGCTTTAATTTTTCACCTATATATATATATATAAATATATATATATATATATATATATATATATATATACTTATTAGGTCTTAGAAAAATACAACAGGGTAGTAAATGAGACGAAAGAATTATCGAACTTTCGCTAAATTTTTGCAGCCATATTTGTGATGGATTTACTATGTCAGTTCCGTATAAAATTTTAGACCATTGAATCGATGATACGTTTCTACTTAAAACAAGTAAAAAGATCTTAAGTTTTGGTCTGAAAGTGTTGTTGAACACGGTACCCAGAAATGTTTCAAATAGACACCTCGGTTATTTCAGAAAAATCCACATCGAACTGTATTCCACCTAGACTTGATTCATTTTTTGGAAAGAGGCATTGTACGAGGGCGGTTCAATAAGTACCCGTGTTTGACGACAGAGGACGTACCTGAGGGAAGTTAATGTTATTCTAATACTTCACATTGAGAAGTGGCCGGTACGACCGCTCCTTTGTCCCTAGGGTGCCGATATTTTGAAACAGTCTGCCTGAGGTTTTTCCTAGTTCTGCTAGCCCTAGATAGTTCAAAGTGGGGTTACGTCCATAGTAGTAATCGCGGTGTCCCGATATTTAGGTTACTGCCTACGCGGCTGCTTCAATCTTCGATCGTCTGTCGTCGTGCAGCTTTTTTGGGCGAGCTTAAGAATGTAGTGTATGTGCACGTAGTTACATAACGTGTGTAGAATTAATTGTTTAGACAGCCCGTCCGTCCGTATCGGATTCAATTTTAAACGGCGGCATTCGATCGGAACATGTTGCCACCTATTAATTTCCTACTTATTACACGTAAATTTTGAGCTGCTTATGTCGGAAATCCTCTGCATATTTAAAAAATATAACCGCAGTTTTTGCATAACTGGAAACTACATTTATATTTTACTGTACATCCGGAAGTCAAGCTGCAGCATTATGGAGACTTCGCTTGTTCGATCACCAATTAACAAATCAATATACTTGATCACCTATTGTAGCCTTCTATTTTTTTTCCAATCGATTAACTTCTTAACGCACGAAAAATCGTAGTTAAAGCGTGACTAGCGCAAAACAATGTTGACAATCGAAGGGTATTAACTTAAAGCTTATAAGATTAAAAAAAAAATTGGCAACAATGGAACTGATTTTCCGTCTAGTAAATACTTGTAATGCCTACCAAAAATATAAACACTTGTCGATTTGTTGGCTGAAGTTTATCGAAGCTTGGAGAAATTTATTAAAAACGTGTGCGAGGCTCCGCTGTTGCCAGATTTACCAAAGGTAAAACGAAGTCATTTTGATATATTCCTGAAAGTTACCCTTAATTTTTTCAAATGTTGATCTGACATAAACCGCAAAGACAGTCTGGTATCTTATCATTATCAGTCTTCAAATAACGGTTCAAAGCGTAACAAAACTTTTTGAATACGTGCTGAATCACCCCAGCTCTGAAGTACGAAGAGCATCTTAGAATGGAATAGTCCGTAATGTGATGTCAGCAAGACATTAGTGGAAAAACAGTTTTTTAAGTTTCTCAATATGTACTCTTAGGAATTGTAATGGCAGATTTGTTATGTTTTAATCAAAATGTTTTAAACAAGTGTTTTAAACACTGTTTAAAACAATGACGGTATTTTAAACCAATTAAAAACATGTTTAAATCCTGTCTTTTTGTAGTTTGTGAATTATTAAAGACTTTTTTTAGTATGATTAAAATTGATTTTATTTTGCAAAACGAAACTAAAAGGCCCGTAGGTTAAAACACATAAGTACTTAATAAACTGCATTGAACTCTGATACTAGTACACTACAAGCAGCAGAATAATCATATAATATGACTATGTATCTACTTGTATAATAACATTAAATAAGTTACTCAACAAATTTCTATAAAAGTACACAGCTAAATTTGAATGTTTTAAGCGAAAAAAAAAACAGTTTTAAACAAAAAAAAGATGTTTTTTTCAACCCTGTGTAATAGTAACTTTTGAACCTACGCTTAAAACAACTTTGTTTTATTGTTTCTGGATATAGGTTCTAGTCTAGAAATATTTCCACGTTTTTCTGATACATTCCTAAAAAATTAGTTGTGTTATATATACTAAGTGACATAAATGCGAACACCCAGTTTAAATGGTTTTATTTTAATAAAATTTTGTATAAGTACTTAATGAAGCATAATAAGTAAATGATAAAAATTTCAAAATGATGGCACTGCTTTAAAACCCTTTGACCTTTAATAATGTGTGGATGCACCCTGATGTGCTACGCATTCTCCAACGCGCCTAGGCATGCTTCTGATCAGGTGGTCAATGTCCTCCTGTAGTATCTCATTCCAGGCAAGCACCAACTCCTCTCGAAGTGCTTCTAGAGTCTGAGGAGGATGTTGCACATTGATCAATCTCCTACCCATCATATCCCACACGTGCTCAATTGGGGATAAGTCGGGAGATCTTGGTGGCCATGGTAACAATGTGACATCATTATGTTGAAAGAAGTCTATTGTGACTCTTGCAACATGTGGTCGGGCATTATCTTGTTGGAAAGTTATATCTGCCAGGGTGTAAAGATAGGGTAAAAGATGGGGTTCTAGAACTTCGTGGATATAACGCTGCGCGTTCATGTTACATCTGATGAAGATTAAAGGTGACCTGGAACCATAAGCTATAGCACCCCAAACCATAACTCCAACAGTGTGATGAACATTTCTTTCAACAAAAAACTGTGGATTCCTCCTTTCACCACGTCGCCTTCTAACCCTGGCACGACCATCGTGCATGCCTAAACAAAATCGAGACTCGTCACTAAAGACAATACTGTTCCATTCCTGATCCCAGAGTGACCGTTGTCTGCACCACTCAAGGCGATTACGTCGGTATTCTCGAGTTAAAGGGAGGACCCAGTGTAGCCGGTATGAAAACAAGCCAAAACTTCTCATTCGTCGGTAAACACTTCGCATGCCAATAGGTCTTCCGTGTTCTGCAAACCATTCATTTGCAATGGACCTGGTAGTGGAGAAACGGTCCCTTACGGCCAATTATCTTAGGCGGCGATCTTCACGGTCTGTTGTTCTACGGCGGCATCCAGTGCCCCTTGCTCTTTGCGTACGGCCTTCTCGAAGCCATGCCTGACAATACCTAACCACAGTGTCTACACTTCTTTGCACTCTAACTGCAATTGCCCGAAAAGAAAGTCCAGCTTCCCGAAGTCCCACTATACGGCCCCTATCAAACTCACTAAGTTGACGAAATCGTACAGGTCTCCGTACTCTAGTCATCGTAACCGATCGTAAAGGATGTCAAGAACCAAAATCCGCCAACGTTGATTCTTTACTGCGGCTGAAATATTCATTTTTAGAGCGTTAGTGAATTAGAAAAAGCAGTATAAAAACCGGAATGTCCAACTGATAAGGCTGAACATTTTTTCACTTGTTATTTACAGTAAGATAAATACATTCACCAACTTTTATTAAAATAAAACCATTTAAACTGGGTGTTCGGATTTATATGTCACTTAGTATATGTGTTATATAAAGAAAAAAAGTACTAATCTAGTATCTTTCCCGTGTATAATACACAATTTTATTCTCTGACGGGAAAAACGACAATTTAATATTGAAAAATTATATTATTACAGACCTGCGTTGCTAAGGAAACTTTAATCAAAAAGCTGTCAATTTAATTTTGTGATTTGATTTGAATATTGTGAACTTAGCGATTGCTTAGAAGTTATTTTTAATACTATAAAGTAGTATATGATTCCGAGTTTTCTTTGACTCCGCCAGAATGAGTAGAAGTAGCCAAAGTAGCGTTACAAAAATTATTGCCAGCTAAATCGCGGAAAATTTACGAAACAATATCCGGGAAAAAAGTACTCATTTTTTACAGCGGAAAAAAGGAATTTCATAAAAAGTAGACATTTTTTTGTTACCTGTCAACAGAGATAAAATGTCAAACTTTTTGCCCGTTACGGAAAAAACATAGGATTTTAGATTTTCGACAAAAATATTTGAATCCGGCAACATGTTTGGCATGCGTCCGGCATCCTCGTCTATCGACTTCCGTCGATCCGTCGCCAAACATCACCTTTTTGGCACACCACCGGAGATCAGCCTACCAAAATAACCTGAGGCCAACGCATGTAGCTCAACCAAACAAACGCCAGTATATCGCGCTCGTCGCACCGGAATCGCGCGCGTAAAAAATCGCTCGCGTTCGTCCAGCGTGGGTGCATCTGTGCACCGAGAGTACGAAGAACTCGAGTTCGAGTGGTGACAGGTCGGGTTGGCACGCAGGCTGACCGATAGATATTTATGAATGTAGGAGCGCTACGCGACGTTTTTTTTTTTTTCGGTTACTTGCTTTGTTTACTTCGGTCCGGGAATCCTAACGTTAAGATTGAGTTGATGAGTAGCAATTAGCTCGTGTTATTCAAGTTTTATGAGCTGGTACTTGTTGGCAAATAGATTATTTAGCTTGCAACTGTGCAGGGGCGTCTAAATGCATTTATAAAGAAGATCTAATTTATAGATTAAAACTGTAAACTCTTAGAGATGACTAAACGATAAAACCTGTCCTTGAAATAATCTGAAGCTTTTAAGATTTCTCGGAAATTAATAAATACACGATATCGACAATTACCACCTCAGAGATCGGGGTAGCAATCCCTGAATTTTTAAATTCGGAATCGGGTATTGTGATAAGTTATCGTATTTAAAAGAAAAAGGAGTAATGGACAAAAGTATATAGACAAATTAATATTGTGCTGTATTTCTTTTTTAACTTGTTTTATTAATACACCAACCTGTATACATAAATCGTTATAGCATAATACTCACTTATACATAAATAACTGAAAAAAACTGGAACCATGAAGGACAAAAATATATAGACAAAGCAAAACAGTTATAGAAACAAGAAGCAAAGTTCATTGAATTATAGAAAACCAACCATGTTTGTGTTAATATTTTGTATCATAACCATTATTATCAATCACCGCCTGGCATCGTTTTGGCATAGATTGTAGAAGTTTCTTGATATAAGATTCATCAATCTGTCTCCACTTTTGCTCTAAAGCGGCAAAAAGTTCATCCTTGTTTGAATAATTTTTATCTCGTATTTGCTTATCTAAGTATTCCCATAGATTTTCAATGGGGTTTATATCGGAAGACTGTGAAGGTCATTTGAGAACTGGTATGTTTTCATCCAGAAATAATTTCTTTGCAAGATTTGAAGTGTGCTTCGGGTCATTATCTTGCTGGAAGATTGATCTTAAGGGCATATTGCCTTCCATATAGGGTAGCATGACATGCTGTATACAAACTTATCAAGAATGCCATCTATTCTATGTAAAGGTCCCATCCCAAACCCCGAAAAGCACCCCCAAACCATAACAGACACGACTCCATGTTTGAGAGTGGGCAAAGTATACTTGGGGTTCAATCTTTGTCTAACGTAATTAACACCATCTGATCCAAACATATTGAACTTGGATTCGTCACTGAAACATACCCTCTTTCAGTCACAGATGCTCCAATCAAGATGCAAGCGTGCAAATTGTAATCGGTCCTTACGGTTTTTCCTCGAGATTAGCGGCTTCTTACTCGGGCAACGTGCAAATAACTTCAAATCATTTAATCTTCTAGTTATAGTTTTCGTACAAGCTCTGACACTGACAATTCCTTTTGTCTCGATTTCGGCTTTTATTTGTCTTGGGGTTTTAACGGATCTTTGGCCGAAATTACTTTTATTAATCTAACTGATCTAGCATTTAGTTTTCTAGGCCGACCACTTCTTTTAAATGCTTCCAAGATACCTTTTTGTTTATATTTGTTCAATATTGCCCAAACTGCTTTACGCTTCAGCTTCAAATTTTTGGCAATGTCGACTTGACGTTGACCATCTTTGTATAACTCAATGATGTTGGTTTTCACATCGAAAGAAATTTCTTGACTACGCGGCATGGTCTTAAAATCACTCAACTTATTCCACAATACTTGATGAACACAAACTAATCCTCTTCTGACACTAAACTAATGAAAAGAATTTGTCTACATATTTCTCTCCCTCATAAAAAAGAGTTTATATTCAGACTTGTATTGTGTTCATTGCAGATAATGTAAAAACAAGGAATTTAGTTTTTCTACTAATAACGCATTTGTTTATGGAGCAATGAAGTATGAATTCGTTTTCTAAAGGTGTTTAGGTAAATATTGATATTTGTCTATATACTTTTGTCCATTACTGTATATAGGTTGTAATGCTCTTGCTTGGTGAAACTCTTCCATATGTTCCATACAAAAAATGTACCGTTCGATAATTTGATTACATGCATACCAATAAACTTCGAACTGCGCCATCTAACTACAGCAGCTTATTCAAAACGATGTGCTTGATGCATCTAGGTTAATTGGTTTGAAAACTTTTACATCAGGTACTTCTCAGCTTGATTGAAGTTATGAACTTCATTTGCGAATTTCAACGCAATCAAGTTAGCTTAAAAGCAGAGTCTATAAACTGTGTTGTTATTAATAAGGTACGAAAGGTGGGATTTATTCTGAAGGCAAAGAAAGGAGTTGCTATTTTTTTCTATTTTGGAAGTTTGCCACTTTTTTTCCTTTACATGATGGCATAATGAGAATTTCAGTATCACTTTTCGTCTCTTGTCATCCAGCATCAACTTAATTTTTTCTCATGTACGCCAAATTGAATTTTTGTACAGGTAAGTTGAGCTTTTAATTTTGCTTGCAGAAATGTATAATATTGATATTACCAAACCGTAGTTATTTAAAAAAAATTAATTTCCTAGGTAGGCCTTGGTAAATTATTATTTTTGTTTTTCCTGACCTTACTTGAGACGGGATTCCACAGTAAGTTACATGTTGTCATTGTGACTTTTTCTTCTCTACAAAATTGCGTAGACAAATGTTCAATTCGATGTTTCTTCTTTCGACTTCCATGACCAATTTTGTTTTTTCATATGAACGCTATATTGGAATTTTGTACATTTACCTGCAGTTATCAGTCCTTAATTCAGTGATACATTTCTTTAATTGGCCATGAAGTTGTTGTTGGAACGAAAATAAAAAGGAAATAAAAAGGCATTGTAAAACCTGAACACGAAATGAAAATTTTATGAATGGCAATAATAATTATAAATAAGCAAAGGTACAACATAGTAGATCCAAAATCCTGTCCGTAATTTTGTAGGCAAAACCTGCCTCTTCTCTGTCCATTGTTCACAGCTCGGTTTATTTCCATCTTTCTCAGTCTCCCGAACTCTGTTACTATGTTCAATTTGAAGTCTGTTTTGTGTCTATCTGATAATTTCAAGGCCTACCATTATGTTTTCCGAAATAACTGAGATTTGGCAATATCAATTTATGACATACGAGTATTATACATTTTTGAATTAGAATTTTAAACTCTATTTATCTGTGTACAAATCCAATATGGTGTCTATAAGAAAACAAAAGTTGATCCTATAAATAATTGAAATTAAATTGACCTCTCTAATTTGTTAAAAAAAATCATAAAAGGACGGGTTTTTCGTGCTAGTATTTTCTTCTTTGTGAAGAAATAATATACTATACAGGTAGTCCCGTATCTAAAACTTCCATTTCCTACATTAACATATTGTCATCAGCGATATCAATTAGTACGTATAACTACAAATATCTAATCATTATATATTTGGTCAATGCTTAACATGTTTTTTTACAATAAAGAGTCTTCCTCTCAAGGTCAAGTTAGATGATCAGAACCAGTTGTGTGTTGCTGTTTCTAATTACTTATGTATCATCTAAATTGGAAAATTAATCGGCCCTCACATCGACTTACATGGAAACAGAATCGCGTAATGCATCAAATTATATTTTTATATTCAGAATGATCCAAAGTATGGATGCATTGTAATGTTGTTGGTATAAAAAAATATGAGAGACATAAAATCCTGAAAATGACAGGACGCTCCTTATTGATTCTGACAAAATTCCTCACCCTGTATAAGATGATGATAGCCACGGGCTAGGGTAGATTTGTGCCTGCTGAGATTTATTTTGCTATTGCTACCTGAACTGCGTTCACCCAAAAACGGTGGGCGACATCTGAAAGGGTGTGGGCTATTCATAGGACTTTCTAAAAACTCAAAAGATGCATTGCTTAGGGTAACACTTGGTAAAGTTGGAAGAAACCTTCAAAAATAGCGGGGTGTTAATTTTGGCGCACAGTGTATTATTTAAATGCTCGGTTATACGTATTTCCCGCAAATATTTAGCACCGATTAAACATATAATTACCCGATATAAAAGCAAGATGCAACTCACCGTTGTGATGAGTGTATCTTGATTGTGAAGCTGTGCGTAACGGAGCACGCGGTATATCGGTAACGGTAACGGAGCAAGAGTCGAGTGATATTTCACATATGATCGGATGGTTGATAGTGCGAATGTGATACGCGAATGTTTACAGTGATGGGAGATCGAAATCTATTTTCTAAATTGTAGTGCTGCGGATGGTGTAGTCCAGCGATTTGAAAATTTGTCAAACGTCAGAATCTGGATTGGGATTGTGTTGATTTTTTAGGGTTTTTATTGCTTTTTTCGTTAAGAAGATTAGGATGTTCTTAAAGGTGTTACAAGGGTGATTCGCCAACGGATTAACGTAGGATGTAGTTATGTGTAATTATATACAAGGTGATTCATAAAATGGTGGGAATATTTTCCAAAAGTTGGCTAACAGATCAGGTAAAAAATCGCTTTGTAATAAACTAATCTCAAAATACTCTTTGGAGTCTTGCAAAGCGAGGTCTAAACTTTAATTTGAACACCTGGTTACCTCCAAAATTAATATTTTTAAGTATACGCAGCTTTAGAGCTTTTCAGGTACTAAATCGCTTGCAATTCGAGAATGGTCAACTTTGGAGAAAAGTTAATGGAATAATCCAAAATACAAAAAATTGTAATTTGTTTAAAAAACTGTGTAAACAAATTTGATCTTTGTTACCGTGCAGGTATATTCGATGCTTAAAGACTGTTAAAAATTATAATGTTCGAGGGTGCCAAGTATCTTAATTAAAGTTAAAACCTTGCTGTACAAAACTATTTTGAGATTAGTTTATTTTCAAGCAATTTCAACCTTGTTCTTCAAGCCAAAATTGACGAACTTTTAATTTTTGAAAACTGTACATCCAGACTTCCTATAAACATGGATCCTAAAATAGCAAATTCCGGGATGTAAATTTATACGCCACTCATGAGGCGGATTTAGGACAAAACATTATTATTGTTCAAATAACTGTATAGTTAGGTGATATTACTTTCCTCAAAAACTACACGCAATTCAAAGTATTTTCGAGTTAGAACGAGTGTCTAACGGATTTTATATCAAATATACTAAGTGACATATAAATCCGAACACCCAGTTTAAATGGGTTTATTTTAATAAAATTTTGTATAAGTACTTAACGAAGCATAATAAGTAAATGATAAAAATTTCAAAATGATTGCACTGCTTTAAAGCCCTTTGACCTTTAATAATGAGTGGATGAACCCTGATGTGCTACGCATTCTCCAACGCGCCTAGGCATGCTTCTGATCAGGTGGTCAATGTCCTCCTGTGGTATCTCATTCCAGGCAACCGCCAACTCCTTTCGAAGTGCTTCTAGAGTCTGAGGAGGACGTTGCAAATTGAGCAATCTCCTACCCATCATATCCCATACGTGCTCAATTGGGGATAAGTCGGGAGATCTTGGTGGCCATAGTAACAATGTGACATCATTATGTTGAAAGAAGTCTATTGTGACTCTTGCAACATGTGGTCGGGCATTATCTTGTTGGAAAGTTGGATCTGCCAGGGTGTCAAGATAGGGTAAAAGATGGGGTTCTAGAACTTCGTGGATATAACGCTGCGCGTTCATGTTACCTCTGATGAAGATTAAAGGTGACCTGGAACCATAAGCTATAGCACCCCAAACCATAACTCCAACAGTGTGATGAACATGTCTTTCAACAAAAAACTGTGGATTCCTCCTTTCACCACGTCGCCTTCTAACCCTGGCACGACCATCGTGCATGCCTAAACAAAATCGAGACTCGTCACTAAAGACAATACTGTTCCATTCCTGATCCCAGAGTGACCGTTGTCTGCACCACTTAAGTTAGTTAGTTAAAGGGAGGACCCAGTGTGGCCGGTATGAAAACAACCCAAAACTTCTCATTCGTCGGTAAACACTTCGCATGCCAATAGGTCTTCCGTGTTCTGCAAACCATTCATTTGCAATGGACCTGGTAGTGGAGAAACGGTCCCTTAAGGCCAATAATCTTAGGCGGCGATCTTCACGGTCTGTTGTTCTACGGCGGCGTCCAGTGCCCCTTGCTCTTTGCGTACGGCCTTCTCGAAGCCATGCCTGACAACACCTAACCACAGTGTCTACACTTCTTTGCACTCTAACTGCAATTGCCCGAAAAGAAAGTCCAGCTTCCCGAAGTCCCACTATACGGCCCCTATCAAACTCACTAAGTTGACGAAATCGTACAGGTCTCCGTACTCTAGGCATCGTAACCGATCGTAAAGGATGTCAAGAACCAAAATCCGCCAACGTTGATTCTTTCCTGCGGCTGAAATATTCATTTTTAGAGCGTTAGTGAATTAAAAAAAAGCAGTATAAAAACCGGAATGTCCAACTGATAAGGCTGAAAATTTTTTTACTTGTTATTTACAGTAAGATAAATACATTCACCAACTTTTATTAAAATAAAACCATTTAAACTGGGTGTTCGGATTTATATGTCACTTAGTATATTCAACCGGATTTTTCTCAGGAAGGAGTAAATTGTCAAAAAAAGGTCCAGAAAATTTTCCTTTGTCTATCAAAGTGTATCTTTGATCAGTTTTTCAGTAGTGAACATCGTAATTACGAGTGTCAAAAAACAAGCGACTTATTATAATTAATTTATCTTTGGCGATGCTTTTTCAAAATTTTAGTATAGGAAAATCTAGATTCTCCCTTATTACGATGTTAAGCTTAATCTCTAGCAAGGGAAACAGCTCGATGTGAATCTCTTTGGATCTAAAGTCGCTAGTCATCTCGTCAAAAAATAGACATTCATCTAAAAAATTTAGTAACGATTAGAAATTTGCAGAAAACAGTTAGGCGTTTTTTAAAGATTTTTTATGTTGAGCACCACTTTTTGCTAATAGATCAGATTTACCATTATGGATTTTTCAGTGAAAAATAAATTCATAAATCGATATGTTTTACAATAATAAATTAACTATTACAGCAAATTGGGCGAGTAAGGTTTCATTTTGAAGGTGTACAGCTTTTTTTGAAGCTCTTACACCAATAGTCCACAACTATTTGAATATATGCGAAAAACTGATTTTTGACGTTTGATAAAAAAATACCCAGCAATTTTTTTTTGTATATTGATGAAGAATATATGGTTGTAAAACAGGCTCTTACATTTTTTTACAAACGATTTATGGCTAGTTAGTTTGTTCTCTAATTCAGTTAGTACAGTTACTTGCATTCTGAATTAAAAAAGAAGCTACATGCGTTCGAAACCTGAACAGTTTTAGGAAGTCGTTAATAAAATTTAAATAAAATAGCAATATATTCATTCAAGGCCAACGACGATTTGCTTAAAAAATGTTTGCGCGTTTTACAGCTTAAGATTGGAGTATGACAATTTTACTTTATTATTATTCAACCAGTCAACTGAACATACTAGCCGAACAATGAACCGTTCCATCCGATTTCGCGTTACATTCAAATATAAACTGCCGATACGAGACCGATATAGTGAAAAACAGTGATAGTGATACGAAACATCGGACAGACTATTCGTCAATTTGCAATGCACCCGAAGATTTTCGACTATTTCACCTATGTCGCGTCTGATACGTTTGCACGTCTATTCCGGACAGTTCGCCATTTTATTGCCTCACGGTTGTGATGACGAGGAAGTGTACAGCTTGGACCAGATCAAGGAATTCGAAACCGTATCGCCTGCTTATAAGGAATGGTTGGCCGAGGTTTTGGAAAAAGGTAAAGATACAATTCGGAGAATGGGTCATTAGAATATCAAGTAGAGATACCAACAATGTTCTTTACGTCCCCCGTCCCCCCCCCCCTATTGCTCTTCAATTCTGACTCGTAGATCCCACTCGCTCTTCAATTTTCAGGTGGTGATTTCCCGTAATTCTCTCAAAGTTTTTTGTGATTCATAACTTTGAACATAACCTCTCTTCAGAAAGCACACAAATAACTCGTCGGGCACAGCTAATAGATATACTTCATTGGCAGCATATTCTCACACAGCAAATATCACTGATTTTATACACATGCAGACCAGATGCGATCTTGCTATTCAAACAACTTTCTTCTCAGAGAGCAAAACTAAAGACCACTTGGCTTCACAAAACATATGCAACCAACAATGTGTGTAGTTTTAGTTGAGTCATTCCTCCAGAGATGGACGCTCACAACGATCCTAGTGAGCAAATGTGGAATGACTGTTTGTGCACTAAATACTACCTAGACAGCAAGATGACATTTTATAGGTTTTTTTTTTTGACGTTTTATAGGTTTTTTACATAATACCCGGTGCCGGGATCACCCATTCTTATTCGCATTTCAAAATCACATTTTGCTGCATATAAAGAGACATTCCAGATGCAGAAAGTTCTGCAAAGTACATTATGTAATATAGAGGAGACGCAGGTCATGGGTTTTCGCCCCCAGACAGGGTAACCGGCAGAGGTAACTACTTTTATAAGGAGCCTCGCAAAGTTTTGACATGTGCTTTTTTCTCATTCAATTCGATTGTAGCTCTTCGGTTGTACTTTGCCGTTTTTGGGTTAGTCACCTCAAATGTACGAACTTCAGACTTAGAAGCCCTTAAACCATTGGCTTGACAGGTGAACGGGGATTTCATTCAGCTCTTGCAGTTGCGTCTATATAAAAAAAAATCTTGTCAAGTTTGAGATTTATCAAAAAAAAATAGATCCTGCTCGAGTTCCCCATCTGTGTATCAGTTGTTATTTGCATTTCTTATAAATAAAGGGACTGGTTTACTATATTTTGATAGTTTTTGATCAAAATTGTACAGTACAAAGGGTACTATAAAGAACTGAATGAATTGCTGGTGCATGAAGGTGTAAGGTCTCCTCTATCTGTAGTTATGTCACTCTCCGGTCTTCGTCAAGCATTTTCCTCACAGCAGTAATGTTTTCCTCAGTTACTGACTTCCTTCCCTCTCAGCGTCCTGCAGTGTAAAATTGCAAAGCAAAGTTCAACATGCTCCATTATACTGGACGTCAAATGAAACCACGGATGTTGAAGTAAGAGATTTACTGACGTTTCGGTCTCCTCAGTGGTCTTTTTCAATGTAGAAAACGACAATGAACTACAGGGTGGTCCATAAGTCCTTTGAAATTTCAAATTTGAATAAAATTTAACGGGTGAGCGTGAGCGGCGCGGGCGAGGTGGGGGCAGTATCTTCAGTGTCTGGGAATTCAGTCGCCATGGAGTGTTTCACTGGAGCGGATCGTGCTTTTTGTGTGCGCGCGTTTTATCAAAATAATGATTCGGCAACCATTGCGGGGCGTAAATATCGAGAATACCACAATTTACACAATTTTACAAAGTGTCCAACAGCTGAAACGATTAAGAACTGGGTTGCTAAGTTCGAAGAGACTGGTTCGACGTTAGATAACACAGTCTGTTCGTCAAAATCCTACCCAGTCTACTCGTAAGCGTTCCAGTGCACTAAACGTACCCAGAACATCTTTACAGCGGATTTTAAGGAAAGATTTACGTCTGCACGCTTACAAAATTCGGTTAGTGCAGGATTTAAAAGATAATGACGCTATTCAGAGACTAAACTTTGCGAATGAAATGTTGAATCGATTTTCTTCGCTCAATAATGTGTTGTTCTCGGACGAGGCTCACTTCCATTTAAACGGGCATGTAAATAAACAAAATTGCCGTTATTGGAGCCCCGAAAATCCAAGGCGTAAGCATCAGAAGCCCTTAAACAGCCCTAAAGTTACAGTTTGGGCTGCTATGTCAGCGCATGGCATCGTAGGCCCTTATTTTTTTGAGTACGACAGAGGTCGCGCATTAACTGTTACTTCGGAGCGGTATGTAGCAATGATAGAAGAGTTTTTGACACCAGCGTTGCAGAATTTTCCAGGCTATAATACGCAGACCTGGTTTCAACAGGACGGAGCAACTGCCCATACCTCCAACACTTCTATGCCCGTCGTCTGTCAACTTTTTCCCAGCAAAGTAATTTCTCGAAGAGGAGACATTTCCTGGCCACCACGTAGTCCAGATTTGACCCCAATGGACTTCTTTTTATGGGGCTACCTCAAGAGTAAAGTGTACGACACCACTCCGCGATCAGTTGATGTCCTGAAAGAAAATATCCGAAGAGAAATGGCAAGCATTACAGTGTTGACTTGCCGCGCAGTCATCGACAATTTTAGACGTCGTTTATATGAGTGCCGTGATCGTAATGGATTGCATTTAGACGATGTGATTTTTAAAACATAATTCCCATTCAATAAAGATGATAACAAAATATAATAATTCTTCATAATATAACTAGTTTGGTTTTATTCCTTTTTTTCCAGCTCAAAGGACTTATGGGCCACCCTGTATTACGAACTTGCCAAGAGATGTGTGCAGTGACTGAAATTTGGATTTTTCAATCACAGTTTCGTCATGGCCACGTGATTAGTTTCTCATTATTTTTCTGGCCACCTCACCTTTACTCATTCATTTTTCGTGCAATGTTCACTCGTTTCGTTATTTTGGTTTGTTTCCCAGTGCAATGAGCACCCTCAAGACGCTCAGGTCTATAAAGTATCTCAATAAGTAAAACGATTCGGATGAAGGCTAAGTACTTATAGGACTGCCCTCGTATATTTGGTGTACTTAGGAGCTTGAGACGTCCCCCTCCAAAGCTTCCAAACTACTCATTTTTCCTTCCTAAATATTCATTTTTTTCGAGGGCTTCCGCTCTGCGAACGCTCCGCGCATCGCATAGGTTCTGGATAATGAAATTTCTGGTGCTCGACTCAGAGTATTTGCTGAATGGGTAGAGATAAAATGGAATTTTTCACTAACAGACGACGTCTGTTGAATTTCCATCTGTGTACCGTACAATTTAAATCTAATAATGAATCAATGTTCTGTTTCAATTTTAATTCAATTTGATTTCTTTATTAATTGCTAAATACACAGTGCGTGTTTGAAGAAATCAAAAAAAGGCAGCAATAACTTACTTTACGCCAACTGGCAGGAGGTATTGTAATCTTGTTGTGTGAATGTTATGCGACATGTAACATCATGAAAAACCATGTTACTTATTCCCGTCGATCTGTCTGTCTGTAGGTCAGTCCGTTATTCATTGGCCCATCTATAACTTGACGAAATTTTTACAAAAGGCTACTACTATGCCAAGGACGAAAAAGCTTTGTAGTTTTTAAAAATCGATTCAATAGCGGCCAAAAACGAAAAAAATTAAAATCGCTCAAACTTCGTTTTTTGACGTGTCACAGGATTCTGATTATTTATGAAAAAATTCTACTACTGCTCTCTGGCGTCACCGGCGAGCGTGCCGGTCTAGATAAGACCGCGAAGCCACAAGGCAGCTACAAAACAAAGCTGGAGGAGTGTGTATGGTGGTTCTCCGCAATGCCTTCCCACTAAAAGGAAGCAGATATTGAACAAACTTATTCAGGACATGCATTAATGGACGTGGTCCGATGGTATACAAAATAGAACTTACCGCTGAAGGTTAGAATCCCATAAGAAAATGGACGTGGTAGCACCTAAACCAAAAGAACTAGACGTAAGGTAAAAAATAAAGTGTACTACTCCATAAACTGGTGTTTGGGGGTTTGAATCCCATAATCTGGAAGCTAACGAAGCGACCCACACACAACCAAACATCAGCAGAAAGAAAAGAAAAATGATGCTGGACGCAAGTTGTTAAAACAAGGTATCTTAATCTGGCCTTACCGCCGCGCTGCCGCGTTGTGCTGCGAGGTATCGGGGAAGGGCTACGTTGCCAGATGGACTATTTGTAGGACATGGAAAATGTGTCAATCGACTAATTGTTGACCTGTTTAACTGATTTGATCCGTTTAATTTCTCTATTTTAACTAACTTCTTTCTCCGATGATGTTTTATCAACTGTTGACGGTGTTTCTTGGGAAGTGTACAGTCAACCTACTTGACGCCATTTTCTCATACCGTAGGCAGAAGCCTGTAGCAATACTACAGATAGAGCGACTGATTGAAACATTATTTCATGGCACATTACAAAAAAACGCATTCAAATATCGCAGCTTCCCTTGTTTTTTTTTTGTGGTCTGACGTTTTTGGTTTACTCATATCCATGTCTTTCACTACCAACAAAGGAATTGCAGTTTGTAATTTTTGACATAACGGCTACGTGCATTTCGCCATGTTCTGCATGATAGAGACTAAAGCTAATTGTTATGCAAAACATCATTTTGCAATTCATACGATGAAGTGCATCATTCAGCAACAGTTGCATAAATTGGTTATATCTATAGAGTTCACGCAATTTAATGTGTATATTACTCGTAAATATAAATAATACATATGTTGTTTTCGGGGGTTATCAAATCAGTTAACGATTTGATTGAAAATTATTAAAGACCCCAATTTTTATTTGGTTGGAATTGATACATTTTGTGCTGCATCGTTGTCTAAGAACTCGCATTACACAGATTCAATTGGTTTGGTATTTTTATCTTTCACCGTGTCTGGCGCTAATTTCTTGATCTCGTCAATAATCAGAATAATATACAACTATGGACATACGCTTACACGATCTCTAAAATACCTAAGAGTATATTGACCATCTTTATTTGAAATTATTTTTGTTTTTTACTCAGAAAAATATTCCAGAACCGATCAACTTTGATCATGACGATTTTTAATAGTTAATCGATTTTTTTTTTGTTGCAGAAGAGGATGAATTGCAGATATTCGTCAAGTTCTTCAAGTTTCACAAGTGCTACGATCTCATACCAACATCTGCGAAGCTAGTCGTTTTTGATACACAACTATTGGTGAAAAAAGCTTTTTTTGCACTTGTTTACAATGGTAAGCATTACACACCTTTGTTTATTTTAAAATATACACACAATAATTACTTATTTTTTTGTTCACGTTATGACTATACAATATTTTTTATTTACCCTGTAGCCAGTCGTAGATGATATTTTGTCGGTCATAATAACCTTTTATTTTGTTTATATTCTTTGAGGTGTTAGAATCCGCAGCGCTTCGCACTTTCACGCTGCGGACAATAAACGCTCTCGTAACGCCCTAGATATATAAGTAACTATTTCATGATGTTATGACTGAAAATAATTACGGGACATGTCATTATATTATGGTTTAACTTCACAATTTTATGCTGTCTCTATTGAACACAAAAATAACAAAAACAGCTTTTATTAGGATAATTTTTGTAACCAGTGTAGTCTATAGTAATCCACAATTTCCTCGCAATTTGAAATAAAGAAAAAAAAAGGCTTGGAACAAAGGGTAACCTCAAGAGAAATTTTATCTTGCAACAGCAGTCAATCTTGGTTCTTCTTTAAAAATACCAGTAGACGCTGGAGGTCGAGTAATTAGAATGTCTGGAAAACTTTAGGAAAACAAAGGGAAAGCAAGAAGAATGGAAAGAAAAAACCGTTGTGTTACAATTTTATATAGATAATTAGAAAAATGCTATTATATTTGTGCATCATGATTCAACCTACAGTACCGTGCAAAAGTAGAGAAACAAACCACATGACAAATAAAAATCCAGAAAGATTTACTCTAACCCACAGCTGTAAACTAAAGTTTTTTATGTACCTCAAAATAATGAAATGCTTATCTTTGTATACATTCTTTTTTTTTTCAATATAATATGGTCGGTTTTTTGTTCAACGAGCAAAAGTAGAGAAACATTTTGTAAATATTTAGTATGTATTTAGTCGTTAGCTGTTATTTTTGAGTGTATTTGGAAAGTGTAGTTCAAAAACATGGCCAGAGGAATTACATTGAATGTGCAAAAAATAAAAGAATTATTTTAAAATATCGATCCGGCATTAAACAAGCAACCGTAGCCAAACAGCTGAATTTAAGCCGATCGGTAATTTGCAAAACTATTAAGCTGTTCCGCCCCAGAAAATCGTTGGTAAGCCCTCCTAAGACTGGTAGACCGCGAAAAACCACACCTAGGATTGATAGGAAAATTAAAATTTAGGCAGCAGCGATGGCCGCAGTAGTAGACTCTTCGGTCTCCTGATCAGTCACCGTGCGCTGTGCGGGTTCGAGTCCCGTCCCAGGAGAAATTTTTCTCTTGGCTATGGATGTTGTGATTGTCCGTAGGTGGTAGACGGTCTCTGACTGTCGAACGTGGAGGTACCACCCGGCGGATTTCTGAGGCGGAGCCAGAATGTGTGCATGTTGCATGCACACGTGTTCCCTCGCCAGAGTCCCGTGTGGCGTTCCCCCTTTCCCATGTATCCCCCTATAGCCCCACGGTACCCAATGGGTGCTTAGGCCTTAGGCCTTTGTGGTAGTCGGAGTATAAAAATAAAACACTTGCTTTTTAAATTCCGTTTATTACTGCTGTCGACATAAAAGCTCAACTTGAAGAAGTAAATATCGGTGTCCACACTGTTCGAAGACGTTTAAGGGAGAGTGATTTACCAGCAAGGAGACCATCTAAAAAACCCTTTATTTCCAAGAAAAATCGGACCGCCCGTCTTCAATTTGCTGACGATCATTTGAACTGGTCAGAAACAAGGTGGAAATCTGTATGATTTTCTGATGAAAGTACATTTAATTTATTTTCATCGGATGGCATTTTATGGGTAAGACGTTCTAAAAACAAGCGATTTGATCCTAAGTTCACTTTGGGCACAATCAAACATGGAGGCGGGAAGGTGTGAAGTATGGGGTTGCTTCTGTAGTCTTCAAATCGGACCCATCGTCAAAATTGAAGGAATTATGGACCGGTACAAAATATTAACTGATACCATTATAGGCAGCAGCGGTGGCCGCAGTAGTAGACTCTTCGGTCTCCTGATCAGTCGCCGTGCGCTGTGCGGGTTCGAGTCCCGTCCCAGGAGAAATTTTTCTCTTGGCTATGGATGTTGTGATTGTCCGTAGGTGGTAGACGGTCTCTGACTGTCGAACGTGGAGGTACCACCCGGCGGATCTCGTAGGCGGAGCCAGAATGTGTGCATGTTGCATGCACACGTGTTCCCTCGCTAGAGTCCGTGTGGCGTTCCCCCTTTCCCATGGTACCCAATGGGTGCTTAGGCCTTAGGCCTTTGTGGTAGTCGGAGTATAAAAATAAAACACTTGCTTTTTAAATTCCGTTTATTACTGCTGTCGACATAAAAGCTCAACTTGAAGAAGTAAATATCGGTGTCCACACTGTTCGAAGACGTTTAAGGGAGAGTGATTTACCAGCAAGGAGACCATCTAAAAAACCCTTTATTTCCAAGAAAAATCGGACCGCCCGTCTTCAATTTGCTGACGATCATTTGAACTGGTCAGAAACAAGGTGGAAATCTGTATGATTTTCTGATGAAAGTACATTTAATTTATTTTCATCGGATGGCATTTTATGGGTAAGACGTTCTAAAAACAAGCGATTTGATCCTAAGTTCACTTTGGGCACAATCAAACATGGAGGCGGGAAGGTGTGAAGTATGGGCTTGCTTCTGTAGTCTTCAAATCGGACCCATCGTCAAAATTGAAGGAATTATGGACCGGTACAAAATATTAACTGATACCATTATAGGCAGCAGCGGTGGCCGCAGTAGTAGACTCTTCGGTCTCCTGATCAGTCGCCGTGCGCTGTGCGGGTTCGAGTCCCGTCCCAGGAGAAATTTTTCTCTTGGCTATGGATGTTGTGATTGTCTGTAGGTGGTAGACGGTCTCTGACTGTCGAACGTGGAGGTACCACCCGGCGGATCTCGTAGGCGGAGCCAGAATGTGTGCATGTTGCATGCACACGTGTTCCCTCGCAAGAGTCCGTGTGGCGTTCCCCCTTTCCCCAGTATCCCCCTATAGCCCCACGGTACCCAATGGGTGTTTAGGCCTTAGGCCTTCGTGGTAGTTGGAATATAAAAAAAAAACCTTACGCAGAAGAAAACATGCCTCTACGCTGGCGGTTCCACCACGACAACGACCCCAAGCACACAGCGAAACTAATAAAAACATTTTTTGCAGATCACAATATTAATGTCATTAAGTGGTCAGCTCAGAGTCCAGACCTTAACCCCATAGAGAACCTATGGGATTTAGTTGATAAAAAAAATCGAACTGAACATCCAGAAAAGTTCAAAAATAGTGCCGAATTATTTGAAACAATCGAAGTCGCCTGGAATTCTATTCCAAAAGAAACAATAGATAACCTAATTGGTTCTATGAGAAAAACATGTCTAGCAGTTATCAAAAATAAAGGTTATGCAATCAAGTATTAGCTTCTTTGTATACGACAATTGCTTTGTATATTATGTTTCTCTATTTTTGCTCGCTGTATTTTCTAATAATAATTGTTAGCATAGTTTTATTAAAGCAGAAATTTTATTTTCATGTTGGCTTTGAATTACATGTTACATTAAGTTATGATAAAACGTAAGTGTTCAGTTTACTTTAATAGTTTATTAATATCTTTAAAAAATTAAATGTTTTTCCACTTTTGCTCGGCACTGTACGTAAATCAGAAAAGCATGTTTTACAAATGAGATAAATGGCAGATCCATGTTGGAGGCTTTGTGTGAGATATTAAAAAATTGCTCGAAATTTTACGTTTGAACGCCTCGTTCGAACTATGGAGGGCAAGTTCTATCATCTATCATTTTTCGTTCATAGAGAAAAGTAAAAACAGCAAAAATATATTTTTAGACGCAAAATAATGATGTCGGTCAAAATATAAATTTTGGAAACTACCCGATTCGGAATCTCTTGATTCGTTTCAAGCTTACAACGCTTTCCAAATGTGTTTCCCCATCACCTTCCAAAATAGCGATCTGGTTGGCTATTAAACTTAACCTTTTTTTTACGATGAATCGTTTGTGACTCAATAACCAATCATGAAAATACTACAGTATAATATATCAAAACCCTTTTTTGGCAGTTTGTATTCATATCTCTCGGGATATATCTAATAAAAATCGATTTGAAATTTTGTCACAATCTGTAATTTTTTCAACGGACTCATCCAGAAGAAAAAGTTTGATCATATCTACATACCATAAAGTTTTGATGATTAATTGTTGTGTTATAAGCGATTCGATATAGAAAATGCTCAAATTTGACATCCGCCATTTTGAAAAGTAGTAAAGGACAAGACATAGAAAATGAGACCCAGTCAATTTGTCTAAAAATTTAGTATCATATGTCTCGCCTTCCTGAACAATAGTGCTTATGGGACCAGAGCAATCCTATGATTAGTTTCTGAGAAATAGGGGGATGAAGTTTGTCTGATTCTGATTTGCAAAATTGGTGGATGAGCTGTTCGTGGTTCTCATACCAAAAACTGGGAGAATCAGTATACTGTCGTTAAAACACCTCCTTATAGGGAGGACTTGTAAAGTGTCATCTTTACCATCAAACAAATACTTACAACGTCAATTTACAAGGTTATATTTTAATGCTGGAATAGATCTGCACAAGTTATTCTAGAATTCAGAAAACTCATTAGGACAGTTCGCTTAGGTTGTTTCCTTGTCTTTGATTATGACCTTGTTAGGGTCATTGTTTATTTAAGGCGAAACGAAAAGCGCAAAAGTGTAAACATTGCTTTAAGTTGCATCTTATCCATCTTCCTTACACTGGCCTATGAATGAAACCACGGATGTTTAACGGACTGACGTTTCGGCTATACCATATATGGTTAAAAAGTACTGATAACAAGTTGCTAAATGAGGCATCACATCTTGAAACTTTCCACTGTATTTTTACGTTAGCAATTCATGCATCAATTTCAGCATTCTGATTTAATTCGATCAAAAAATTGGTGCGACCTTTTTGAAAAGCGCTGTATTATGACTTTTTTGTGTGGGTGGGACCTTTTACTTCCTATGCCAAAACTGACGGCCGACATTTCCGTCGGTCTAGCTGTCTGCTAATTTTATAATCGCTTATATGGGGTTGTCCAAAACGAACGCAGGAAAGTAAACGCATATTAAATGGAGAAAGATTGATATTCAAATCAAGTTGGGTACTTTATTTGGAAGGTTCATTTATACCATTTATGTATGAAAAATAATATCGCTCAAATGTTCACCACGACTGGATTTACAGACGTCCACGCGATGGTCGAAATTTTCAATGACATTTTGCAACATGGTCGGTTCTATGGCATTTATCTCGGCAATGATGTTGTTTTTGAGTTCTTTGAGGGTGGCTGATTTGTCGACGTAGACTTTGCTTTTCAAATATCCCCATAAAAAGAAGTCCAAGGGAGTCAAATCGCACGATCTTGGTGGCCATGGCACATTTCCTCTGCGCGAAATCACGCGATCACCGAAGAAGGACTGCAATCGATGGATATTGACGTTGGTTGTGTGGCATGTTGCACCGTCTTGTTGGAAATAGACATCGTCCATATCCATTCCTTCAAGTTGCGGCAAAAAATAGTCCTCTATCATCACATGATATCGCTCAGAATTGACGGTAACGGCGTCCCCGGCCGCAGTTTCGAAAAAGTAAGGTCCGATGACGCCTTTTGACCACAATGCACACCACACAGTCACTTTTTGAGGATGCATCGGCTGCTCTTGATATTCACGGGGATTTTCGTTCGCCCAGATGCGGCAGTTTTGCTTGTTTACCGTCCCATTCAAAGTGAAATGCGCTTCGTCGCTGAACATGATTTTTGATGAAAAATTGGCATCAATTTGGCGGTGTTCAAGGAGCCAATCTGAGAACGTTCGGTGCGAAAAATGGTCGGCCCGACGCAGCTCTTGCGTCAATTGGATCTTGTAGGTGTGTACATTCAAATCCTTGTGGAGAATGCGGAGCAAACTGGTTCTCGAAATGCCCAATTCTTGGGATCGACGCGTTGTTGATTGTTTCGGATCGTCTCTCACACTCTCCTTCACAACAGCAATATTTTCCGGTGTGCGAAGGCTCCTTGGCCGGCCAGAGCCTGGCAGATTTGCCACAGAACCTGTTGCCTCGAATTTACGCACCAGATGACCGATGGTTGTTTCGTTTGGGCGGTTGTTGCGACCGAAATGTTCACGAAGCGCGCGAAACGTGTTTTTTATTTTTGCACCATTTTTGTAGTGCTCTTGAATAACTTTAATTCGGTCTTCAATCGAATACGACTCCATAGCGATCAATGGTAAACATTCAACTAACAAAAAGACATGTCGGAGACAGAAAACAAAGATGGCGTCTATGTCAAATTGACGTTTACTTTCCTGCCTCCCTATTGGACAACCCATTATTTCGAGAAGTACCGCTAGGATTTTGGTGAAATTTTCACGCAAAGTTACTACTATGCCAAGGATGAAAAACGGAAAGATAACTCGCTGGGGCAACGTTGCCACATGGTCAATAACTATCAGTAGGGCAGGAAAAGATGTCTTTGGACTGATTGTATGGGCCTGTTTGAATGACTTGATACGTTTAATTTCTCAAATCTTCATGCTATATTTGCTCAGAGGATTTAAATTGCTCCGTACTTAATCCATTATAAACTTTTGCGACGAAGTTTAGCATTGGTTATCTGTATTAGTATTTTGATATTGAACAATTTGTGATTTTTTTTCAGGCGTTAGAGCGGCCCCGTTATGGGACAGCTGCAAGCAAGAGTTCGTCGGAATGCTGACCATCACCGATTTCATAAAGATCCTGCGCATGTACTACCGCTCGCCCAGCGTTGCCATGGACGAACTGGAAGAGCACAAATTGGACACTTGGCGAAGGGTCCTCAAGGACAAGAAGCCTTTGATCTACATCAGTCCCGATGCGTCTTTGTACGATGCGATCAGGATGCTTATACACAATAGGATACACAGATTGCCTGTCATCGACCCCGATACGGGGAACGTGCTCTATATTCTAACGCATAAGAGGATACTTAGGTTCCTGTTTTTATATGTGAGTATGAGTTGAATCGGACAAAAATTGTCTTAGGTTCGACAGAACTCGTTCCAAAATAGGGGAGATGCTGTATTTCTGTTTTATGTATGTAAAATGGTTCATGATTAAATTAGTGAAAAAATGCTGTTTTTAAGATAACTGTACAAATTTTCTCGCGAAAACGGACCTATAGTCCACCTCGCCCCGCATCTTTATACTATTTATATTATACTCGCTCAATACTACACAAGAATTTCTAACATTGCCATTTCAAGTCACCTGTACATACTCACTATTAAGTTAACTTGACCAGACTATATCGCTTAATCCACTTGCGAACTCAATTCCACCAGACTTTTTTCGTTAATGCCCCTGAAGATGTTGATCATACCCAGCCGTGGCGTCTGCGCAGATAATTTCACCGGACTATTTACGTTAATCTACCCGAGGACCTCATTGCTCCCGTTTGTGGTTTATGTCAGATAAACTTGCGCAGATAATTTCACCAAACTATTTACGTTAATCCGTCAACGACGTCGATTGCTCCCAGTCGGGGTGTTGCCCAAATCAACTTGCGTACTTAGTTTCACCGGTCTATATCCGTTATTCTACTAGATGACGTCAATTCCTACCGTCCGAGTTGTGTATCAGATAGTCTTGCGCAATTAAGTTCACCGGACTATTTCCGTTAATCCGCCCAAAGACGTCGATTGCTTGCATTCGGGGTGTTTTCCAAATCAACTTGCGTACTTAGTTTCACCGGTCTATATCCATTAATCTGCTAGATGACGTCAATTCCTACCGTCCGAGTTGTGTATCAGATAGTCTTGCGCAATTAAGTTCACCGGACTATTTACGTTAATCCGTCCAAAGACATCGACTGCTTCCAGTCGGGGTGTTGCTCAAATCAACTTGCCTACTTAGTTTCACCGGTCTATATCCATTAATCTGCTAGATGACGTCAATTCCTACCGTCCGAGTTGTGTATCAGATAGTCTTGTGCAATTAAGTTCACCGGACTATTTACGTTAATCCGTCCAAAGACATCGACTGCTTCCAGTCGGGGTGTTGCCCAAATCAACTTGCGTACTTAGTTTCACCGGTCTATATCCATTAATCTGCTAGATGACGCCAATTCCTACCGTCCGAGTTGTGTATCAGATAGTCTTGCGCAATTAAGTTCACCGGACTATTTCCGTTAATCCGCCCAAAGACGACGATTGCTTCCATTCGGGGTGTTGCCCAAATCAACTTGCGTACTTAGTTTCACCGGTCTATATCCATTAATCTGCTAGATGACGTCAATTCCTACCGTCCGAGTTGTGTATCAGATAGTCTTGCGCAATTAAGTTCACCGGACTATTTCCGTTAATCCGTTCAAAGACGTCGATTGCTTCCATTCGGGGTGTTTTCCAAATCAACTTGCGTACTTAGTTTCACCGGGCTATATCCATTAATCTGCTAGATAACGTCAACTGCTACCGTCCGAGTTGTCTGACAGATGATCTTGCGCAATTAAATTCACCGGACTATTTCCGTTGCTTCCCGACGACCTCATTGCTTCCTTTTGTGGTGTCTGTCAGATAAATTTGCGCAGATAAATTCACCGGACTGTATCCGTTAATCCGCCCAAAGATATCGATTTTCTGTAATCGGGGTGGTCGTCAGATTAATTTCACCGGGCTATATCTGTTAATTTGACAGATGACGTCAGTTGCTACCGTTCGAGTTGTCTGTCAGATAATCTTGCGCAATTGAGTTCACCGGACTATTTCCATTAATCTTCCCGACGGCGTCATTGCTTCCTTTCGTGGTGTCTGTCAAATAGACTTGCGTAGATAATTTCACTGGACTAATTCCCTTAATCCGTCCAACAATGTCGATTGCGACCAGTCTAGGCGTTTTCCCTGATCAACTTCCGTTATTGCTTCTGTTCGTGATGCTTGTCAAACTGTTGTAGATAATTTCACCTGACTATTTCCGTTAATCCGTCCAAGACGTCGATTGCTTCCAGCCGGGGTATTCCTTAGATCGGTTTCCTCATAGCTTTCCTTCGTGGCGCCTGTCAGGTAAACTTGAACAGATAATTTCACCGGACTCTTTTCGTTAGTCAACGACGTCGATTGCTTCAAGTTGGCGTCCCCGATTAACTTGTGCAATTAATTTCACTGGGCTATATCCGTTAATCTGCCATATGACATGGATTGCTTCAGCTCGAGATGTCTCTCAGATAATCTTGCGCACCGGACTATTTCCGTTAGTCCGCCCAACGCCGTCGATTGCTTCCGTTCTTGTTATTTAATATAAACTTACGTAGTTAACTTCACTAGACTATTACGGTTAATCCGCCCGAACCCGTCGCTTTTTCCGTTCGGGGTGTTTGCGCACTTAATTTCACCGGACTATATTAATCCGCCATATGACGTCGAAGACCTTGAATTTAAATATTATTTGCCTTTATTTGGTCGGCTTTTGCGTAGTTAGGCCGTCGTAAAATACTTTTTATTTGATGTTTAACGTTTAAAGTCAATTTTCTCCATACAATGATTTTGTTACATGCACCTTTATCCACTTGTATCTTCAATTGTTTACAGTACATTACGTAAGCGTTGATTTTAACATCAGTTGCAGAATATGATACCAAAAAAAAGTTTTCGCAGTTCTTATTATACAGGGATTGTCCGGAAAGTAATAGGACTCATTTTCTTCCGACATGACTGTACTTCGGAGCGTACGCGCACCGACTGGATTCAGTAGAGGGCGTTCCTAGCTAACGAATGAGCGGCTGGTCAAAATTTGGTCGTGGATCTTTGAGTATGATTGCGGGACAAAGAGGCAATCTTCCGAGTGGCACACGACGGCGTCTCCTCGCCCAAAAAAAGGGAAGAATGAGCAAATCCAAAGTGAAAACGATGTTCATTGTCCTTTTTGACATCAAAGGCATCGTCCACCATGAATTTGTTCCTCCTGGACAAACCGTCAACGCCAAGTTTTACGTGGAAGTGCTCAGGAGACTCAAACGAAGGGTCAGTCGGGTCCGACAAGTCACCGCAGCCGACTGGAAGTTGCACCACGACAACGCCCCGGCTCGCACCGCCTTTCTTGTGAACAGCTACCTGACCAAGGCCGGCATCCCAACGCTTCCGCAGCCGCCCTACAGCCCAGATGTGCCCCCCCGGACTTTTTTTTGTTTCCTCGCCTGAAAATGCCGATGGAAGGCAAGCATTTTGAGACGACAGAGGGGATCCAAGCAGCATGCACCGCGGCTCTCAAGGCTATTCCGGAGAAGGCCTTCAATGCTCGGAAATCGCGCTGCATCGACGCAGAAGGAGCCTATTTTGAAAGTTTTTAACGAATTGTAACGATTGGCTCAATATTTTTTTTAAATCGACTCAGTCCTATTACTTTCCGGACAAACCCTGTACTCAAACGTCTACTAAAATAACTGTTATTAAGTCGTTTTTTTCTTTTTCAGATTAATGAATTACCCAAACCTAGTTATATGCATAAAACGTTAAGGGAAGTAAGGATCGGCAGTTACGACAATATCGAAACGGCCACAGAAGACACAACTATAATATTAGCTTTAAAAAAATTCGTCGAAAGGCGGGTGTCAGCATTGCCCATCATTGACGCTGAAGGACGGCTTGTAGATATTTACGCTAAGTTCGATGTAATTGTAAGTATATATTGTTAGCAAGATTTGTAAACTCCTTTATTTTAATTATTCAGTTATTCGAATAATGATTTGTTTTTTTTTACAGAATTTGGCTGCAGAGAAAACTTATAACGATTTGGATGTGTCTTTGAAGAAAGCCAATGAACATAGGAATGAATGGTTTGAGGGTGTATATAAATGTAAATTAGACGAAACTTTATATGCTATAATGGAGAAAATTGTTAAAGCTGAGGTAAGAAATATTCCTTGGCCCTCAAAATATTGCTAGAAACCTTTTCAATATTTCAGTACGTTAAGAATAAAATTATTGGACAATGCTCGGTTTTGTTTACACTTTGCTTCTGACAAAAATGATACTTCACTGCTAAGTCATTATGAAAGATTGTAGCATACTAATATTTATTTTTATTTTTTTTTCAGGTTCATAGGTTAGTTGTAGTTGACGAAGAAGACAAAGTTATAGGTATAATTTCTTTGTCTGATTTACTTCTGTACCTGGTATTAAAGCCTTGCGGTGAAGATGGTGGAACTTTGTTAGATACTGTTACTTCTCTGAGAGCTCAGGTATGTATTTCTTTCAAGAATTACTCAATTGTACCCATAACATTTCACTTCCATAAACTCACGCTTGAAACATGAACCGAGGATGGCTTATCGGAAGCCGGTTGCAAAAATTGTCACCTTCGTTTTCCAAAAATGATCATCCCTTGGTTCAGGAATGCGCACTTGTATTATGGCCTATCATCAAGTAACAAACACCCTTTATTATTGGATGTTACACTTTTTTGCGGCTGATGATTTTTTGCTGATTCAACAGATACTAGAACCACTGTACAATTCGTTCTGAAATTTCTACATCTCTTGTTTCAGGACGTAAAACAAATAAACGAAGCGTTAAACTCGTCGCGCAGAACCTCCTCGACGGAAGAGGTGTCGCAGACCATCCACGAAGAGGAGGAGCACTTGGAGGAGGAAGCAACCGATGCCAAAAATGATGGAAACGAAGAGAAGAAAATCGAGGAGGAGGAAGAGGAGCACGAGGAGAAAAACGACCCTGAAGTTGGTAGCAGCACACCTACCACGCCTGTGATAGATCCTTTGCAGTCTGCAGACCAGACCGCGGCGGCCATTTTCAGGGAGGTCACCGTCACAGGAGGAGAGTGATTTGTTCCTAGACGAACACACAAGAAGAACGGGTTTTAAGATAACGTTGCTGCAGTCTTCAACACGGAACATTTCCAGGGCAAACCAGTGGCGTAGCTAGCAGGGTTTCTTTCTGAATAACGGCCCCATTTTAGTTTTGCGTTAGGCTTTCTATAACACCAGGGCCATCACTTTTGCCAGTGTACGGTGTACAGCACTAACATGCGAGCAAACAAATAAACTAGTAAAATTCTTAATTTGTGTCTTCAATTAAGGATTTAAATTTTATTATATACTTACTCTACTTTTTGTGAAGTCCTTTTATTCGGAATAATGTTCTTTTCTTGAATACCATAATTTGATTCAGGATTCCTACTAGGTATAGGGGAAACACGAAAGAAAAAAAGAATACATAGTTTCCCTCGTTATCTATGCTCCCAAATTATGCCCTGGATTCAGTAAAAAAAAGCGCCAACTGGCGCGGAACGAGAAAGTAACAAACAAAACAGAAAATAGAATCGAGTATAGGACTTGGGGCAATAAGGTACCTAGATAACATTTGTATTTCGATCAATTAAAATTATAAGTTTTGTTTACATCCTGAAATAACGCATCTTTTTTAATTTCTTTGAAATGCTAAATAGATTTATTTACATTTTGAGTACAAAGATTTGGTGACGACAGAATCAAAAAGTATGGGATGGGATTGAATTTGCAAAATATGAGGTCCGCACTTTATGAGGAGACATCAACTGGGAAGAATAATAATCCGAATCTTGCGGACCATTTTTTTAAATCGCCCTCCTCTTAAGTAATCACGAAAAATGTTTTTTAGCTCCGATCATTTTTTTCAGGTTTCTCAAAACAGGTCCTCATACGCGAGATATAAGCCATTCAATGTTTGAAAAACCCTAAAAATGATTGAAGACTGTTGGAAATAATCATTTTTGAGGTATCTAAATTATAGCTCTTTTGCTAAAAATATGTGGCATATCGTGGTTGTTCAAAGTCGCCGTTTAGAAATTATAACATTTATCAGCGAATTATTAAAAAAATCATCTTCGTAGAAATGGAAATGAAGTTTTTTATTCAAATGTGGTTTAGGTACCTTATTGCCCCAAGTCATCCAATCATACTGTCAGCCATGTGATGCAATTTTTATACTTGGAGCTAGATTCCAAACTAAACTTCGACTGTTGAAATTTCGATGTCACACATGGATCCACTCTGATAATTTTGACACTTTATTATAGCTAATTTCAATATTGAAATTATCATGGCAGTGGGGATATTCATAATTTCCAAAATTTTAAGGAATTTAAAATTTTCGAAATTTAGATTTTATTCAGAATTTTCAAAATTTTCGGTTTTCTAGATTTCCAAAATTTTAAGGAATTTCATATTTTCAGATCCCTCAAAATTTTCAGTTTTAAAATTTGTGCAATTATGAGAATATTCAGAATCTTCGGTTTTCTAGATTTTCAAAATTTTAAGGATGTTCATAATTTCCAAAATTTTAAGGAATTTCAAATTTTCACGTTTATTAAACTTTTCAGTTTTCAAATTTTCGATATTTTGAGACAGCTCAGAATTTTCAAAATTTTCGGTTTTCTAGATTTTCAAAATTTCAAGGATGCTTATTATTTCCACAATTTTAAAGAATTTCAAATTTTCAGATTCTTCAAAATTTTCAGTTTCATATTTTCGCAATGTTGAGTATATACAGAATTTTCAAAATTTTCGGTTTTCTAGATTTCCAAAATTTTAAGGAATTTCATATTTTTAGATCCCTCAACATTTTCAGTTTTCAAATTTGCGCAATTATGAGAATATTCAGAATTTTCGGTTTTCTGTGTTTTCAAAATTTTAAGTATGTTCATAATTTCCAAATTTTAAGGAATTTCAAATATTCAGATTCATAGAAATTTTTAGGTTTCAAATTTTTGAAATTTTAAGGATGTTCATAATTTTCAGTTTTCAAATTTTCATAATATTCGGAATTTTCAAAAATTTTGGTTTTTTAGATTTTCAAAATTTCAAGAATTTTCCAACTTTTCAAAATATTCATAATTTTTCTCATCAAAATTTTCATAATTTTCATGATTTTCAAATTTTTCAAATCTTATGTTTATAATGATCTGTTAGTTTCCATTAGAATGTATATTCTGTACATTACATAGTTCAAAATTAGAGCATACAAAAATAGCATTCACTTGTTGACCTGTTGGAACTTTCAATTATCATTTGTGAAAGCCACTGGAACTACTATTACTCTACTAAGAAACGATTTCCGAAATTAGACTTAGGAAGCAAATCGACAATAACACCTCCGGCCATGGGCGCCCCCAAAAATTTTTCTGAGGGGGCCGATCATGGACATGAGAACTTTTTGTGAAACTGTACATGCTTCCAAAACTTTTTGAAGCGGGGAGTAACACATTTTCTCAGGTGGGGCTAATTCCTAAAAATTCTCAAAATTGTACACAAAATCATGCTATGTACGTATTTTTTGTTCGTTTGGTTGCTTTCTCATTCCTTATAAACGTGTATTTTATCTGATGACTGAAAACTGGTGAAAATTAAGCAGGAATGTTTCTGTACATATTATAATTACGACACAGACTCTTTAGTTAAAACAGATGCACTTTTGATATTGCGATCTATATGAACGATCCGAAATATTTTTGTTGAATCTATTACTTTTCCACTTTATAATATTATACTGAAATGTACACAGGGTGCATCATTAAAAATTATTAACCGCAAAAAATAATGTATTGTCTGTCTAGTCATCCAGTTGTACTTGAACTTATATTTTTTCAGAGCTAGCATACTCCCATTTTTTTTTTGTCTAACAGAGCAAATATTTACGATTCAATTTGCAAAGAATATATTAGTGTATACTTTCTATATCTACCTTTTTTTAAAATTCAAACATTTTTTAATATTCTCCATATTTGTGCTTAGCACATTTTTTTCGGAATTTTTATTGCAGATTTTTTTTAAACGTGTCTAAATTTTCACATTCTGCAACATATTTTTCCATATCTTATACACGTGAGTTTTTGTTCATACAAAAAGCACCTTTAGAAGTTATATATACTTAAATTTAGATGCTATATTGTGAAACTGGTTATAAATATGTTGTACCCTGCGTATATTACAAAGATGTAACACTTATCTGCAAAAAAAATATTGCAAATAGTGTACATTAGACCTCGTTTGATAGCGAGAAAAGGTATCTGCTTATTTTATTATTGATAATGGATGATGATAATAATTGTTAATAGTTTTTAATTTGAATTACTGTTGGATAGTAATTTATATTAATAAATGCTTACAAGGAAATGCATTATTCGTTTTTTCTGCCCCATTTTTTTCAGGAGACAATTCGACGAAATCCTCAAGAAAATGTTGCTGATTCTGTGCCTTGTCACTTTTAACCTAATTTTCACCAATTTCGGTGGAAATTTGCACGGCGGTCAAGGGCCGGTAACAATACAATAATCTTAGAAAACATTAAAGTTAAAAAAAATTAATTATGACATTTTAAAAAATATTTCTGAAACATAGTTGAAAAATTCGCAAATTCGAAAAATAATTTGGAGATTTGGAAATAATGAACAAAATGCAAATTATGAGAAAATGGAAATTTCACAATTTGTAAAAAACGGAAAGTAAATTCAGATTTATTATCAAATAAAAAATATACGAAACAGCGCGAAGCTCTTGATTATAAGTACTTTTGTTGTTTTTAGACTGAACATTCAAAAAAAGAATTATACTTCTAAAAAACGTTTCAACAGCAAATCTAACTAAAAGGTAAAAAATAATGTCCATGTGCAGGAGAGTTTGTGCCACTGCAACAGAAAGTCCAACAATCAAATATGATTAATTAATTTGAAACAAAAGACCAATTAGAAAGATAAGATATCAACGAAAAATTCCAATTTTATAAACGGCAATTGAAATTATTTTAACACTTCCAAACACTCCACTTTTTTACTATAATTGATTTTTTTAGTATCATAATTTTTATATTGATCTTATTCCAAGTTAATTAGTCATACCTAATTGTCGGTCTTTCTATTGCAGTAACATAAAGCGTCTTTTCTGCTTTTTTAAACTATAATTTATTTGTAAATAATGTTTGGGATGTTTTCTTATACGCCTTTAGGAAAATTTTTATTTTCAAACAATTCTCTTTCAGCGTAGATCTCTAAAAGCTAGTCAGTTAGCACTTATATTTTCGTAAAGTTTCAAACTAAAATTTATAACTTTTAGGGTCGTATCGTCAGTCGCTCCTACATTTGTACGACGCCTTTATGGGATGCGTGATATTCATAGTTTTCTATTCTTCCGTGTCAGCGCTCTATTTTGAGGTTATGAAAATACTGATTTGCATGAAATTGTTCATGCTTTTGATATATATATATATATATATATATATATATATATATATATATGGACTGGTGTGAAGGTGACCTACATTCGTATACTGACGTACGGCCCTAAATAAACAGAAATTATTCGTAAAATCCGTAGAATAGTACAAAAAAACAACTATCAGTTTGAAATTTCCTAAATTCAATAGGTGTGAAACTGGCCCTCATGCAAATGTCTGACTATATAAATTTAAGCTTAAAAGTTGGGAAAGTATGCAGCTTATGATATGGCCAAGAGATTATGAATTGTCTATTTTTGGTCCTTTCATTTTTGACTGGTGGCGCACCTTCCGTTATAAAGCTCTACCAGGGCAAACTGCTAAGAAGACCGCTGCCTTGGCAATACGAGGATAGCTAGCAGTATCACAAATTGTCTCGATCCATACGATCTGGAGATCCCACTTTTGAATTCGAACATTGATAATGGTAAATCTACATTTTTTCTCAACAAATTGTATAATACCGGGCCAAGGAATATATTCCGTAAATAAATGTTAGACGATCAGATTCTGATTTCTGTACTTCAGCTTGTGTGTAAACATTTGATTCAATTGTGCGGTTTTTTCGAATAATCCGACTAATTGCGGATTGGGCTTAGAAGTTCGTTATGTGATCAACAAAACGACGTCAACTATAAGCATTGGTTTTACCAGGCGTAATTTTTGTATGGTATTCTTTCAAAGGATTAATCTACCGGTTCACCTACTTCTACCCTAATTTTAACCAACAGTATAGAATGGTCCAGGTTATACAGCATTTTGATAGTCCTATATACAGGTTGTGCCGTTCTTGAGCCTAATGCGTAATATTTCGTAACACAACCTGTATATTTGAAAGAATTGTTACGAAAGCCTTCATACAAATTGTTATAATAGTCATAAGCAGAAAACATGGTCATACCCACAAAATGTGACCTTGAAGTTCATAATGCTTAAGCAAATAATTCTATAAACCCGCTATTAGCCTACCATTTACAATTTCACGGTTTTTAAAAAGAGAATATCCTTCTCAAAAGACACAGAATCAATTAAGCCGAGTTTTACACCATAAGTGCGCATGCTCATACAGGGTTTGTCCGGAAAGTAATAGGACTCATTTTCTTCCGCCATGACTGTACTTCGGAGCGTGCGCACACCGACTGGATTCGGTAGAGGGCGTTCCTAGCTAACGAATAAGCGGCTGGTCAGTTGTCTCCGAGCACCTGGAGAATCAGGACAGGCATTTTCGCGCGACTTGTTTCTGTGAGTGGTGCAAGCCGAAAATGCAGTGTTCGTTAGAGCAGAGGTACGCGATTAAATTCTGTCTGAAACTCGGTAAATCTGCGACAGAGACGTTTAATATGATCAAGCAGGCTTACCCAGGTGTTGCTTAAGCAAGAAGTGGTGTGTTTCGGTGGCACCAGGCCTTTTTGACAAACACCGATAATGTGACTCGTGTGCGCAAAGTTTTGAACTCAGATCGTCGCCTAAGTATTCGTTTAATTGCCCAGATGTTAAATTTACCAAAATATGTGGTTCATGACATTGTGACACAGCATTTGAACATGCGCAAGGTGTGCGCGAAGATGGTCCCAAAAGTGCTCATTGACGACCAGAAATTGCGGCGAGTGGAAGTGTGCCAAGAAAATTTGAACATGTGTGAAAGTGACCCCCAAATTTGAATAACGTAATAACAGGTGACGAGTCGTGGATCTTTGAGTATGATCCCGAGACAAAGAGGCAATCTTCCGAGTGGCACACGACGGCGTCTTCTCGCCCAAAAAAGGGAAGAATGAGCAAATCCAAAAGTGAAAACGATGTTCATTGTCTTTTTTGACATCAAAGGCATCGTCCACCATGAATTTGTTCCTCCTGGACAAACCGTCAACGCCAAGTTTTACGTGGAAGTGCACAAAAGACTCAAACGAAGGGTCAGTCGGGTCCGACAAGACATTGCAGCCGACTGGAAGTTGCACCAAGACAACGCCCCGGCTCACACCGCCTTTCTTGTGAACAGCTACCTGACCAAGGCCGGCATCCCAACGCTTCTGCAGCTGCCCTACAGCCCAGATGTGCCCCCCCCCCGGACTTTTGTTTGTTTCCTCGCCTGAAAAGGCCGATGAAAGGCAAGCATTTTGAGACGACAGAGGGGATCCAAGGAGCATGCATAGCGGCTCTCAAGGTAATTCCGGAGAATGCCTTCCGTGACGCCTTCAATGCTTGGAAATCGCGCTGGCAGCGCTGCATCGAAGCAGAAGGAGCCTATTTTGAAAGTTTTCAAAGAATTGTAACAATTGGCTCAATAAATTTTTTTAAATCGTCTCAGTCCTATGACTTTTCGGACAAACCCTGTACACTTCGGAAATTTGTGATATTTTCTAGCTATCTACAAATATTGAGCTATTGCTCAATAGGTGGTACTGCAATTAATAAAAGATGGTTTCTGCAACTTTTATCCATTGAAAAGCTTTGCAACTGACTTGTTGAATTACAATTTCAGAGATGACGCCACCAAGTCACAAAAAGGTATCTTTTATTGGCAGCAGCACACAATCGAGCGTATTTTGAATACTGCTCCAGAGATGGCACATATGTTAAGAATAAGAATAAAGATACCTACTGTAGAAAGCATATCCTTACGCTATTTTAAAATAGATGGCACAGGCAAAATATGTCAAATTGACATATATAACACCTACGTTTTTTAGGTTTTGTTGACGTTTCACGGATTGTTTCCACTCAAAATTTTGATGTGATAATGTTCAAAATACCATCTACGAGCATACAATAACTCGCAAAAGAAACCTCTGTATTTCCAACAAAGCGATGTGACAAATATTTTTACCAATATTGGCTTGTGTCTTATGTAAGTTTGTTTTTGAACACCATGCAATAACCAGGGAGTGTTATACACTCCCACATTCGGAGATTGTATATTTATATTAAATTTTATCGACTACTCATTGGTTATTTTGGACTGACTATCTCCAAGATATCGTTTACGCATTTCTCTTAATCCGTTATTTTAACATCTCTGTCTTTAATCAATAAAATTCGAAAAACTTTCCTACAGTCAAGATCTCAAAATAATACAAAATGCGCTTCAATAAGCAAGAATTAGTGACTCTGGCGATGCAACCCTCCACGAAATTCGAAAAAGAAGGCATTTTGTATATTAGGGAGCGTCAAGAAGGCTTTTTTAGGAAATCAGAAAGTAAGTAGCTTTGCCTTAAATGGTATAACCTTCAGGTAAGGTGGATGCTCAGATGTTGCCCATATGTTGTGTTATTGTTTATATTTGTAAGTAATAACTGTTTATGTGACCAACTTAATTGCTATTCAAAAGGTTAGCTTCTCTTTTATATCTACTATATTTCAAGCATGTGTCTTACTCCTGCTGTTATTTATTTATAACTTTAAAGTTCTGCTTCTGAGGTCTAGGTGTATAGATATTTTATGAGTTGGTAAAATAATTCAAATATATTATTTTACTGATGTTTGAAAACAGAGCAGCACGTTTCATGAATTATTCAGCATAAAAAGATACTTCACAACATCAGACTTATCTACCTACTGTTTTAGTGCTAATAATAATAATAATAACCTTTAGAATAGCAATAAATATCCTTTCGAATCTCTATAATATTACTACAATTTCCTAAATCTGGACATCCTAATAAATTTCATTTGCTCAATACACTAAACTTCAATGTAATAAACATTTCTCACTGAGTCATCAAATAACTGTTTTTATTCATACAAAACATCCATTGATTGTGTCATTTCCTTTTAATGTATGTATGTAAATAAGCATGTATGGTGAATAAAACATTTTTTTGTACATGTAACTTAATTTTTACAGTCCAAACAGCTTATTTTTTACAAAGTTTTTGCATGTATGTGATTGTCACAGTCTCTACATGTGTAGGATGAATGATCCCAAATTGATTAATTTGAACCTTATTTTTATATTAAATTATAAAGCAAATTAGTTGCTGTATGAATGCCAGGTTACACGTTCGAAATTTGGATTCATAATAGCCCAGGAATATTAGACATTTTTGGTAAAAAAGACGCGAATTTTTTCTGCAAAATAGCGTGGGCTCCTGGGCTATTCCAAATCGCAACCCCGAATGCGTGCGTGTTTTTTTGAGACATTTTACTAGAAATTGACCATTAGACCCATTAATTCAAAGATTCCTTTTCATTGGTTAAATTTTGACCCACGTGCTTTTCTGTGAACCAGCTTAGTAAAATCGGGCTTTAAAGATATCAATGTCTAAAACAGACATCATACTAAGATTAACATCTTTGATGATATACCACTTCTCCAAGGGTATGTGGGGGTTATTTTCGAGGTATTGAAGGACATTGAAAATTTCCACATATCATTCAATGTCAATGTTTGATGCATGTGGTGAAAGCATGTTGATGTATAGATGTTTTTCATCCATTTTTCATGTTTTCATTCTTTTTGTGTAGTGCATTTGTCAATAATTTTAATGGTACACAAGATGTCATGGGCTCTTGTTAATTTTCTTGGTTTCAACTTTTCCTGGTGAATGTGATGACAATATTAGCACAAGGGTTATTGAGCTACACTGAAGAGATTCTTTGCTGCTATTTGCTAAATGTTTTTAACAATGATAAAATTACAGGGAAGGATAGCAAATCACATAAACGTGAAAAACGACTTCGAAATCTCAGCTGTGTAGGGGTCGTTAGCAAAGGTACTACACCATTCTGCACAAAAAGATCTGCTAACTTATTTTGACATACACTTCTGATAAACCATGAACATTGATATTTAACTTGACAAAAACACAGGGTTAAAATATTATTTAGCATTAACTCAATTTAAGTTGGCAGATTTACGTGTATCACACATAACATACAAATCACACATAATCTATACTAAAATGTCACTGGTGTGTGGTGGTGGAATCACTGATTTTACTAACAATGCTTAACTTTTTCTGTATTCTCTTTCAAGAGTGACAACAAACGCAAGGTATATGAAAACAATGTTTCTCATTGTTTCTATCGCTGCTCTAGGTCTTGTTTTGTATACCTTTTTAGTTCTTGTTTCCCAACTTCCTCCTATATTGAAACACCCTGTGTGCTTTTCACACCGGAGCCTAAATGCCAGGACACCGCGGCAATACATTTTTTCATTGATTTATTACGTATACGTATACCCTAACCAGAGAGCCGATATAAAAATGGCTTGCACACCTTTGATACGACTTTTAGATTTTCGATGTAATACAAGTTTATTCATACACATCGGTATCATGAAGACGTAAGTTTTGTCACTACCCTTAAAAAAAACAAATTGTCGTAACTGCAAAATTTCCATCAAAACTCTGGAACTCGCTTACTGAAGCTGTGACTCTTTGTAGCTTTGCAATTCCGAAACTTCGAATCTAGGAAACTATGAACTTCCGCCTTTCTGTATGACAGCTGAAGCCGTGTGATTTTCTCTGATCTACCTTCGCTAATCAACCACGTACGTTCAATAAATACCTACGAGTTTACAACGTAAAGGAAACGTTTATTTTTGGTATTCCATGGCAAACGAATTGTGCACATTACTAAATCTCAGTGACCTAAAAGATTAGGTAAAAGTCCAGTTTCATATTAGGAGAAAACGTCCACAGCAACATCTACAGCTGAGGAATAAAAAATTATACGTGACCTATACCAGCAATCATTAATATCCTAATCTCTATCAAAGGTGTATATTATCTCTAATACTCCTATGATTTATACATTCATGGTGGATATTATGCCTTGCGGTTAACCTACTATCAAATTTTGTAAATACTGAGGTTACTATATTATGGCTCATTCATATCTTTCTATCCTTTCTCTTCTCGCTATTCAATGGTTTAATTGACGATATATCCGTATATAACGATAAATATGTGTTACGAACCAAACTAAGAGAATTATTGGATTTTTGTATAGCTACTTTTCATTTACCGGTTGATACGTTACTATTATTTTATTTCTTGTAATTTATATAAGTAATCTAGGTGCATGTACTTCTGCATGAATATTTTCGCTAGAGAATCCTGCCTGTTTTTATATACATACTTAGTTTAAACAGTTTTGATGAGTATGTTCAGTAAAACATGTCTACGGATAAGAGTCAATATTTTGTTATACTTTCTATGGTTCCTTAGCAAAATGATCAACTCACGGTCCAAACTAGCCTCTTTGCACTAAACAGATTAAATGCCTCCATGTCAAAAAAGGGCTATAGGTTATTAAGTAAAAAAATTACTTAGCAACCTATCTATCTATTTGCTTTGCTTTCCTGATACTTTCTTGCGTGTAATATCTGTAGGTGAAACTTTATTGAACACACTCTCATCGAAAAAACTACGATTTATTAAAAAATTACACAATGAATGTTTTAAATTTGATTTGCAGTAAGTTTAGAACGATGGTGCAGGCTACGAGGCAACTTGCTATTTTACTTCAAACACAAAGATCCATGGTCAGAACCGCTCGGCGTTGTTGTTTTAGAGCAGTGCCAAGTGAGGATAGATCCGCCTATGGCTTCACCTCCCATTGCAGCTGAGGGACAGTATCCTTTCTATTTAGGTATTGAAAAAAACAAATTTATTCGCTTTAAGTTATTTTCAAAAAATGCTTTTCAGAAAAATACTACTTTTTTCTAATGTAGTCATTGTTGAGGCCTCAAAATCGCTCTTCTCCACATTTCTATGCACTATACATAGACGACTTGTCCTTGACCATAACCTTCAAGGTTAAATCGTTTACTTCTCTGTCAGCATTACAAATTATAATATCGCGCATCTATCAATTCCCCCTAATTGGGCTTCTCCGTTCCACAGGAGATCGGGGAGCGGTTTCCTGGCCATTACCTTACTATATATTGCGTTTCCAAAATGCTCAAGGACTACATGAACGTAGATTTTTTGCTTTGTCCATTTTGGTTGGTGTCAATTATTACGTTGTCGGACACTGAAATGGTCGATATAAGGTAAAGATGAGGCGTAGAGAAGGCTGACTGAATTCAACTAGAGAGAATCCTTGAATGGCTCTTTTTACCTAGTTTGAATTCGTTCATCCCGATCACCTCGAAGGAATCAATTCGATTCCAGTGGTTTCGATTCCGAATCCTGAAATCGGCAGTGATATTACGTAAAAATCGATGTAGAGTCATTAAAAATCGGTATAATTTCAACTTTTCTATCACTAGTCCATTTCTCACCTACTCGCTGTGAGCGCCACCTATGGAGGAATGGCACAATGACCGGCAATAGTATAGTACGTACAACAATTTTTTCGGAAAAACCTACATAATGTCATTAAAAATATTTCTAGTTACGTAATCCGATTCGAGTATCACCGCTACGGCAATATATGTAGATCCTTACACTAGCTTTCAATTCGACAGATTCCAAACGAGTAACGATCTACAAGATTATAAATAATTGTGGTGTGGAGTTTGGAGAATGGACGGTCTGGGATCCATGTTAAGCTGTATTTTAAATGTTGAATTTATCCCAAAAGATAAAACCGACAGAGAGAGATAGAGAGAAAATAGCGTTAACAAGGTTTAAGAATATGTGAAGAATGGTTTAGTGATATAAAAAAACACAAACTATAAAGCAGTATTTACCGCAAACAGTGAAATGGGCAATTTTAGATTGCTCCAAAAGTCCAACTTATACACAATTTCCAAAAGGACATCGGTTAGTAGATCGTTCTTCATTTGGAGTCTATACAATTCAAACAGAAGTGTGCCTTTTAAATAGTTCGTTAAAAATCAACCCGATGGAATTTCGCAAGGCTCAATTCAGTTGCGGATATAATACATACATTTATGTTACTATAAACTTCACATATTCAATTAAAGCAAGATATTCTTAGTAGTATTTAAATGCACAAAATTCCAATAGAGCATCCATATGAAAAAAAACAAGTTGGTGATGGAAGCCGAAAGAAGAAACATCGAAATGAAAATTTGACTACACCATCTTGTATGAGAATGACAACATGCAATTTATTTTGAAATCTCATCTAAGATAAGGTCAGGAAGAAATAAAAAAGATTTTGCGACAAATCTCGTACACGAAACAAATGACTAACTGATAATTTCAAGGCCTTCATAGGAAATTCTGTTTTTAGAATAACTAAGCTTCAGCAATGTCAATGTATGACTCGTTATGCATTTTTTAAAAACTCATCTGTGTTAAAATCCATTATGGCGTCCATAAGAAAACTGCTGGTCGTCATATTGAAATTCTGATTATGGTGTTTTAGATGAGAAAAAGTGGTACTGATTTTGGTATATTTCGGGTTTTTTTCGTTTCTCTCCGTAGGTAGTACTTGAAACATTCTAAGCGGCATTTTGTTAGTTCTCTACATACACAACTTTGAACCCATCTAAGCAACTTAATATATAATTTAGATATAGTTTACTAGATGCGCGAGTTTCTCATAAGGTTGGCAGTTGCGTTGCTATATTAAGCCATGTACAGATATGCAACAACACCGCGAACCGAACCACGCGACGAACCGCGCCGCGCTAGTGTAGACGGTGAAAAGAACGCCGTCGCGAACCTAATTAGCGTTACAGCTCGCCGTTCGGCCCGATCCAGGCTCTGTCGGTTTTTCAGCGCAACATCAAAGGAATGGCTCGCGATGAAGTTGCACATGTTTGGACAGTCACACCGGTGCGGCGAGCACCAATGTGTTATTTTGTAATGTACGAGTACTTAGAAGTAAAAGAATTATTTTTATTGCTCGTATATTTTCCTTTAAAAATTCGATCAATGCCTCATAAACTGCTGGAATGAGGTAGCTGATCGATTGCTTTGAAATTTGAAACATGTATTGCAAACTGCTATATGAATCAACGGTCGCTAAAAATCGCACCGTGACTGCAAGTGTTTTCGTATTTTTGGTCCAATCAACGTGCGAAGATATTCAAAATCCGTCGGAGACATCATCGTAAAATTTTTTTACTGTCCACCCACTTGTTGAAATTTTAATTTTGCTATCAAATTGTTGCAACCGTGTGCTGATATATTGGTATATAACTGCGTTTGTTACCATCGTCGTCGCTTGTTTTTGGATAATTAGTAGTGAATATAAACATAGGCAGCTGCTGCCACTGCTATAAGCATTTCCACTAGTATTCGTCTTTCGCTGAACGACAAATATCAAAATTGGATCGTCATTCTGTTACGCGATGTGGTTGCACGACTTCGTTCGGTTTGTGGTGATGTTCGTCGCGTGGTTCGGTTCGCGATGTTCTTACATATCTGTACATAGCTTTAGATACGTTGTGCCTCAACATCCAGACGGTATTATTTACTGACTTTTTTTCTTGAAATTTCAAGTGTTTGATGGTGGGTTGTGTCAAGCGCTAGCCTCTACATCAGATGCCGAGCGATCCAGTTGGATGGATGCCATAAGGCAGGCTAGCTACGAAGGCGTCAGAGCCGAATTGAACGCTCTTAGACAGTGTATAGAAAGACGACGGAATCACAAACCAAATATTGATCTTCATACTTGGAGGCTTCAACAAAACTATACATTTGGTAAGAATACTTTCAGTGTAACAAGCTCATGCCGGGCCTTCGTCGAGCTTTCTCAGTAACATTAACTTGTACCAACTTCGTCATTATGGGCCGCTTAGTCAGTCGTTCCTACAATTGTAGGGCGCCTTTATGGCCTCTTAGATATTCATAGTTTTTCCTGTCCTTCAGAAAGACAGGGGTGTTTCTAGATTCCTGCTGTTTCGTGCAAGCGCTTTATTTTGAGGTTAAGTTCTAAGAAATTTCAGGTTTATAAAACTCGATTTTTATCATCAGTTTGATCAGCCTAAAATTTCTTAAGGCAGGGGTGTTTCTAGATTCCTGCTGTTTCGTGCAAGCGCTTTATTTTGAGGTTAGTTTGTCTTTTTGAGTTCTAAGAAATTTCAGGTTTATAAAACTCGATTTTTATCATCTGTTTGATCAGCCTAAAATTTCTTAAGATTCAAAAAGAAATACCACATAACCTCACAATAGGAGACGCGCTGACACGAAACAGTAGAAACTAGAATCACCCCATCTTTTCTGAATGAGAGAAAATACAATGAAAATCAAGGAGGTGCAGGAACGACTGACGATACGGCATTAAGAATGATTGTATTCTTAGACAGTAAAGCATATTTATCTATACAAATTTTAATTAAAAAGATCCTGAACAAGCACAGGTATAACTTTTTCTAATACCTGAACAAATCAACTGTCAGGTTCGGGATATGAAAAGAAAATTATGATTATTTGGTTATTGATTTATCTATTGTCAATTTTTTAACGTCTAGCATTTATTGTTGTAGATATTACTGAAGTGCCACTCTGTGAAATATCTCTAGCTTGTGATAACTTGTTGTGCGATGGTCACGGAAGACCGCCGAATCCAACGTTGGCAGTGGACGTCTATATGTCTTCCTCGAAAGTGTGGGTGCACTATGGACGAACTGAGATCGTTGAGGTAGGTCGATTTAACAAAACTCGATAAATCAGATACCAAGGTCATATATGGTAGGCAAAGTCCGAAATGTAAACGAACCTCTTGGATGTTCGGATATGACAGGTCAGGGACAGACCCAACCAGCCACTCTCAGGTTTGGCCGCAGGTTAGACTACAATAGTGTACGAGAGAGAAGTGTGTATAGACACATATATTAGAAAGAGATAGAAGCTCACCACCACGTTGTCTAGCAACGCTGACGCAGCAGTCTGTTCCTTGAATTAAGATGCATGTTGAAAATATGCATTAGTTTATTCTAAATAATGAATTTATTTTGAGCGTATACATTTTTTAATTGTGAATTGTGTCGAATCTGTTTAGGATCCATTCCGAATCGGTCCTAACGGCGAAATGAAAAGTCATGTTCGCCACAAATTCTGCAACAGTGGTCCGCTTGGCAACACCGCATCTCGTACATTCCAATGCAAGGTTTCCACCTCCGTGATCATAGATGAGCGATTTTTGTCAGTATCCATCTAGCGCTCATTGGGGAGTGTCGTCCGTTCCGAAAAGGTTTTCACCTGCGTACACGCAAGCAGTGATAATTTGTATTGCGTAATGGTATTCATTCCATTTTCCGACCGCTCGCTGTCGCAAAATGTAACAATAACTCAGATATGTTGATTTTATTACCATCGGTGGAAATCAAAGTACAGCAGACGCAACACGGGATAATGAAAACTTGCGCTAATGTAAACACAAACTTCGTTCTATAGGATCAAACGGAATGCGCGATAACGTAAACAATGTGTACGCTCGATAACGTAAACAACTATCGGCGCGCGGAAACAGCGCGACGGTAAAATGCTGAAGCCTCGATGATTTATGTCGGGCGTCGGGGAGTCCCCGATTTATGATGTAGAGTGTAGGGGATTCACCTCTGCGATAAAATACGACAAACTCGGTCAGTCGTATGATCGTTTAGGATACGTTTATACGTACGTATGTATTTCATTTTTGAACTTAAGTGAATACATTGCACGCGTTAATATATTTTACGACTATGGCATCCACATCCTATAAAAGAAAGTGTTTAAAGTTGAGTGAGAAAGTGAAAATCATAGACGAAGTTGCACTAGGTGCGGGAGTGACACAGTTAGCAAAAAAATATGGAGTATCGAAAGCAACAATCTGTAAAATTAAGCGTATGAAAACTCAAATTTTACAAAGAACGTGCAATACATTTGGAGGTCCGGGCAAAAGAAAAACTTTAAAAAATGCGAAGGCACCTAAAATGGAAAATTCCCTGTATAAGTGGTTTTTAAAACAACGGGAAAATCATGTCCCAGTTAGTGGCGAAGTACTTAAACAGAGAGCGAGACTGTTAAATGAAAATTTCGTAGCTAGTGATGGCTGACTACAACGATTCAAAACAAGATATGGAATTCGACTGCTGTCTGTCACAATTAGTGCAACCATTCAAAGAAAAATTGATGAAAACAATTACCGAGCTAGATTTAAGAATCGAACAAATTTACAACGCAGATGAAAGTGGCCTTTATTGGAAAATGTTACCAGAGAAAACCTATGCTGCATCATTTGAAAAATCTGCCCCGGGAAGAAAGCCGGAGAAACAACGAATAACGTTTCTAGCCTGCACTAATGGTAATGGTTCACACACACTGGTAATTGGGAAAGCAAAAAATCCGCGCTCATTTAAAAATGTTAATATCCCTGTTGATTATGACTGTTCAAAAACCGCTTGGATGACTAGCAGTATATTCCTGCAATGGTTCCACAGGTGCTTTGTCCCTCAGGTATGACAATCAATTATCACAAATGCTCTATTCATAATTTGAAGATGTGTTTTCAATTTGTAGGTAAAAGGTTTCCTAAAACAACAGAAGCTTCCAATAAAAGTGTTGTTACTATTGGATAATGCACCAAGTCATCCTCCCGAGCAACAAATGAAGAGCAGGGATGGGTCAATTTTCGTCATGTAACGTCAACGTAACTCCGTTAATTCAACCGATGGACCAGAATATAGTAAGACTCACCAAACTATACTATAGGAAGTTTCTACTTTCGTCTGTCTTATCAAAGAATCCTGAAAACTTATCTGAGGCTTTAAAAAAAGTAACATTACGAGAAGCTGTTTTAGATTTACATATGGCCTGGAATGAACTTAACCAGCAAACTATTCAAAAATGTTGAAACAATCTCTTTTGTACCAATAATGAAGATGATGAAGAAGACGATGTCCCCTTAAGCGTAATTAGAGAACGTTTGCGATCCAATAATGATAATGTTATTAGTGTGTCATTGGATGTTGTTGATTTATTGAAAACAGTGAATCCCAACATTGTTTGTACTCCTGCTGATATTAATTTTTGGAACGAAGATAAGCAGACGAATGATGCTGATAAGGAGGAGGATATGGACAGTGAGGATGATGAGAACTATCCCATTGAAGTCAGAAGTGTAGTAACTGACGCGCAAGCTATACAAGTTTTTAACCAAGCTTTAGATTGGGCTGAAAGAAAGTTTCATACACGGATATTTTAGTTCTTCGTAAATTACGGGCGCAGGTATTGGAAGACAATGCTAAGCGCAAATTTACGCAGACAAAAATTGTTAATTATTTTTCTTCTAACTAAAAAAAATACTTATCGCTGTTAGAATATTTGTTTATTTTGTTATAAATAGTATGTATTAAACGTTTCTTTTAATAAATCAAATATTATATAAATCACGTTCGCTAATGTAAACATGTCGATAAATAATGTGAACCACACTTGGATTAAATTAGTTTACATTATCGAGCGTTTGCTGTAATTCTATATTGAATTAAAACACTAAGTCGCATCAAAATTGAAATAAATAATTCTAATCAAAATGAAAACAAAATATTAAATTAAATGTTCGAACAGACCTTCTTCTTCATGTGTTAATAGACACTTCTCCCGCTTCTCTCTCTCTCTCTCTCGTATACATTGAACTCAAGCCGGCACACAAATTTGGTTTTCCCTGTATACCTTGTGCAAATACATATTTTTCTATTTTTGTATACATTTTTTAAGGTTATGAGATTTTGATTTCAAATCATATGAGGTTCTTTTAATAATGCAATTCGATTTTTTGGCGCTTTAGCATACCAGCAATCCAGTGTTCCTGACAACTGTGCAGTTTCGAGCATCGGATCGTCTATCTTCCTCTACTCCTGTCAGATTCAGCGCTTGGGACGTTAGAGAACGGGTATCAGCCACAGCTACGCCCTTAGGTAGCGCTTGTGTGCTCCTAGGGGCTCTGATGCAGGAACCTGCTAGACTAAGGTATGTGTGGCACAGTTCATAAAGGATTAAGTTCAGTGCAATTTCTATTCTCTGGGAAAAAAGTCAGTTGCAAACGGATCAAGTTAGTCAAACAAGCCTATACAAATAGTCCATAGACGTTCTTCCCTGCCCTACCGGTACTTACTAATCATCCGGCAACATCTGCTCGTCAACGTCATTTCGTTACGTGGTCCGCTTATATGTTTTTTTTTGCGCTGCAGTACGAATAGATTAGTCAGCCGGGCCGGTTTGCAGCGCGGTGAGCAGGAGTTCGCGGACCGAAAACATGTCCCTAGCATTTTTAGTGTCAAATATGGCTAATAAATGCGTAGAATTACCGGGGTTGAGAGCAGATGAATATACTAAGATCAAAAAATTTTCATATACCTTTCCCCACTCCCCACAATACCCGAATTTCAACCCCAACAAAAATGTTTCAAAAACTACTAAGCTTTTTCGTCCTTAGCATAATAGCAATCTTGTGTGAAAATTTCATCAAAATGCGACCGGTACTTCTCAAGTTATAGACGATGGAAATGAGGGACATGGTTTTTCGTGATGTACATATCAAATACGTGGTCTGTAAATTAAGTGATGAGACTGGCAATGTAGCGTTCGATCTGGTAACACTGGAGGCGCCGGGCTTGCAGGGGAGAGACATGAGAACATGTGATCCGCCATCAGTACAAGTTTGAACTTCCTCGAGTTGACCGCAGCGAAGTTTTTTCTATTACATTCTAAAAACGAGTTATATCGACAGAATCCCGGAATTTGTTGATTCAGATCGTTGGTTGTCAGTCAGAATGATCAGGGAAGAGTTAAATTTGCCTCACCGTTCATTACATTTTGACCAGTGAATTGAGGAAGAAAAATCTGCCCAAAAAAATTATTCCAAAAAAAACTTTCGCAAAATCAAAAGAACGTCAAGACCGAAAGGTGCCTTGACTTTTTGGATTCGACTGAAAATGACTCTCATTTTCTGTGTCATTACTAGTCTTAGATGTTTATGTACGACCCAGAATTGTAATTGATTGTAATTTTAGGGTGCCCCTAGCGGGTGTGAAGGCAAACACATCGGCCGCAACGGCGAGTGGTAAAGGAGCTACTCCAGCTGGGTTCCTGACAATCGCCGCATGGCCAGTGGATGCTGAGGACGGTAGAGGCAGCAGTACGGAACACACTCCTTGTAGACATGTTAATAGCACCTCAAGTACTACTAGTACCGGGAACGGCAATGGAAATGGGAATACAACGAATGGACAGCAGCAGGTAAAGGTAATAATCGAATCTGTTTTACCGATTATTTGTGAAACATGTTGAGCAAATCCTAAAGCGCTGTTAACGCGGAGAAATGGAGGCATTTTTTTGACGTTGTACAGACGTTCAATGCGCGATGCTGAGGACATGTGGATAACGAATACGACGACGCTGTAGCTCATCATCGCCGCCTCGTTAATGATATTGAATTACTGAGCGCCAGGTAAATTGTTCCAAAACCCACTATCAATAACCCAAGATTACCAAATAGCACCGATTTACCAAATTACTTGCTTGCTGTAATCAAGTCAGATTGTACAAGAGAATCAAAGCAGAGGTGGTCTAAATTGAGGATGGAACCACCTATATTTTCCAATTATCAATGCAATTATATTAACAATAGGCCAAATAACCAAACATATCACTTTGTTCAATGGACAAAGCAATATGTGTCTATAGCTCGAACAATTAATTAATCATCAATACAATTATATTACCAACAGGCCAAACAATTAACCATCAATGCAATTGTATTACTACACCCGTCTTCTATGTGTTATTGTACATCCTTATTTCCAGGAATGGATAGACTGAAGAGTTTAATATTGACTTGAAGGACCAAACATTTATCAAGGTTTGAACAAATAAACATTGTCGTATTTTTCAGGTGTGGTCCCATCGACGTTCCCAATCGTTGCCGCCCAGACTGAGCGTAAAGATACGTCTTCCTAGTCAATCTGAACTGAAAATACTCTTTGCTTCACCTTACGTACAAACCTATCGCTTCCACTCCGGCTTAGGCGGGGACATTTGCGTGCACGAGTACATGGCTGAAAGCAGGCTGTGCTTCTCTTTTCCCAAACAGATATTGTAAGTATATTTTGACTCTATAATGCTTTTACGCCATCCGCCATAGATTGTCTTCTTAATCTAAAGCGACGTTTTCACGAAGCGTTGTCCCGTCTCTGACGTCATCGGGAAATGATGATGATGATGATGCAGGCATGGACACGCCAGTTTAGAGGGAGGCAGATCATAATCTGTCTTTGAAATGTAGCAAAAATCTGCAGGTTGTTAATTTCTTAGTTCAGCGTCTGACAAATTGTATTACGATAAATAGCTTCTTTTATTTTCTAACTGTCCACCTGACCCTCAACCTTTTGGATAACATACCATTAAAACCTGAACTCAAAAAACCAACTATCAGTGTGAAGCTCTCTCATGGAATAAACTGAATCGTGATCGTGTGAACCGTCCACGACACGATTGGGTTACTTTTCACTCGCTAGTCAATGAAAAAGAAACAGCATGCCACGCTCTACACCTATACTAATATTCTATATCAAGCACCTATTCGCTGGGTCCGCGGTATTAGCGCCACCTAGTGGTCTTAATTTTTCGGGACTCAGAAACTATCCATTTAGATGTTTTGATAACAATTTTTACCTTTTAAAACAAATAAAACTTGTGTATTAAAAGTGTAAGCTTTGACATAGTAGTAACATTGTGTAAAATCAGGATCCCGAAATATTTATGGGAACATCCTTTGTCAGATTGTGATTCTATTGTTACGTTAATTTTTCAGAGATGTATGGATTCAACAAGAAAAAGAGTTGCTTCAAGAGGTGGCAGGTATGGGCGAGTTACGCGAACCTTGGCATTCACGTCAAGTAGAGCTACTCGATCGACACTTGCATCTTCTTAGGTTGTATTCGCAAGCTAGAGAAAATCTATTAGCGCATAAGGGTAGTTTCTTCAAACCTAGCTCTAGAAAGGTAATGCTTTATTCCTGTAATATTAGTTGAACGATTGTATTTTCTAAACATTCAATGACGATTCTCCAAAAAATCTTACCATATCAAAGATACTTAATGATTATAAGAATTGCATTGACATTTATTCTTTATTTTTTAGACCGATCGTAGTTTTGAGTTCGTACCTATCAACCTTCACTTACAACGAATGTGGGTGTACAACGATACCTTGAATAAGTCAGGTTTTTACGATTGGGTCACTGTAGGCGCGTTCACGGCCCACTCGCACAAATCGAAAAATGGAGGCTTGATTAAGTAAGTACCACTTTCAAAATATACGCCAATGGAGACTTGATTTTTTTTACTTTAGATTAGTGCAGCAGCTTAAGGAATCACCTATGAAATCTAGTACGAATAATTGCCAAATAGCTACGAAAATATCAATGGCGAACGATGCCATACAAGTGAGTATAAAACTTTCAGTACATTTTTGGCGCGACCTGTAAAACGTATACCTAATATTAAACAATACATTGCGACCAATATATGACTGATTTAAATTGCGCGCCATTTTTTAACACGCATTTCAGTAGGTGGCGCCGTAGTAGTTGTTTAAAGTACATGTGTACAATTCATGATGGAGCGCTACACGATCCCACAAGACGTTCGTATTGTTAAAAGGTTTTACATAAATAATGAGTCGATTGTTGCAACGATTCGGAAGGTACTTTCGGTCGTGTTCGAACTGTTCGTACTCCGGAAAATATCGAGAGCGTACGTGAAAGTGTAGTGGAGCGCCCTGAGTCGTCTACCAGACATCGTTCTTGAAAACTGGGGATTCGTCGCACTATTTTAAAAAAAGACTTGCATTTGCGGCCATACAGTCATGCAATATTGCAGCATAATACCCAAAATAACGATTTTTACCGACAACTGATAACGAGCGATGAAGCCTACTTCGATACGAACGGAAATGGTAATGAGCAGAATTGTCGTTTCTGGACTTTACAGAACCGCCGTGTCATTCATCAACGACCACTACATCCTCGTTGAGTCACAGTTTGATGCGGTGTTTGGTATGTAGGTGTCATTGGACCTTACATCTTTGATAACGCTCTTACTGTCACTGTGGTTCCAGCAGGACGGAGCAACTTGTCACACAGCTAGGGAAACAATAAATTTACGGGACGTTTAAGTTCTCGATTTGGTGATGTCAACTGGCCACCAAGGTCACCGGATTCAACGGCTCCTGACTTTTTATGCGGATTTTTGAAAAATAGGATTTATGCTAACAAACCAAATACTGTATAGCAGCTGAAGAACAATATTACGGAAGCGATTGAAAATATTCCTCCCGAAACCTACCAAAAAGTGATGGGAACTGTGGGGGCTCCGGTTATTATTTGTCATACATAATTTCTAAGTTTCAATAAAAGATTAAGATTAAAAAAATGGACGTATTTTATTTCATGTCACAAATATTCAAGATACAAACCAGTCAGTTACTTATCGGCCACTCTGTACAATTTCATTGTTTTAGAAGTGTTATGATGGTTTTTATAAGTTCAATTATGATCCATAAAAAATAACTAGGAACTCGAGAATAAAATAACAGAATGATAACGGTATGTTCTTTATGAACTTTATGAACCTTTAAGACAGGTAAACGAATCTGAGTCTGAGCTTCTTACTTGTCCACAAACGTACAAATATTGTTTAATAACTCAACTTCATTTTATATTTTAATGATATTTTAAGGCTATCAAGCAACTGAGGAAAGAAGTAGTTGAAGCAATGCGTACCCTGATGAGATTAGCCAAAGAAAAACAAACAAATGGAATGTTACCAATCTGCGAAGATATGATTAGCAAGACTCGTATCCTCCTCAGTCTTTGGGACCCCGGATTAGTTGAGGAGGCCTTAAACTTCATAGAAGGTCAGTAAATAAATACCGTGTAGAAAATGTAATAGTGCAAGCAGTGAAAGAAGAAATCAAATACAAATACATACAATTATTTTCTATATACTCTAAATTTTTAATTCACAATATCTTATATTTTAGCAATTCTGAGATTTTCTTTTTGTCGAAATTTTTGACATTCTGGTTTATTCATATCATCTCCATTTATTTTTCGCAGAGTACAAACTAGTCACAAACGAGGACACTGGTGTAAGTGATGAACTGATCCTGGACAAACCGAGCCTGGCACTGTCACCGTTCAAACGGATCACTCAGCAACTGACCTCGCTGGACCTCAAGAGTCCGGACCTGGACGATTTCGCTACCCCATGCACGCCAATGAACGTCAACGACATTTGGAACGGGAAAGAGACAAGCTCGGCGGATAGGGAGAATAATTTGTTGAATACTAGCGAAGGGGTGAAGAGCTTGTGCTCTAATATGGCTAGTCCCGATGAGACGAACTTTGTGCTGTTTCCTGATTGTGAAGACAATCAAAACGAGGTGAGTTTGAAACCAGGGATGTTCAAGAGCACAGTTAGAGGATGAGGATGGTGGAATTGGCTGACTAGTTCAAATAGAAGCATCTTGAGGCTGTATCCATAAGGCACATAAATAAACTAGAAAGAAAGTTTGTTCTTTTACATTTACAACGTTGATCTTCCTTCTAGACACGCAATAAAACATGGAGAAAAACAAACATTCGATAACGTTAGTTAGTTCAATAACACAGGCCTCCAAAATAAAAAAAAGTGGCGCGTGCTTGGGGTCCGTTTATGTTTTTTCCATGTGTAAAAATGTTAGAGAAAACGCATAAAATGATCCATAGGTAAAAAAAAAGAATTAAAGTGATAAGTGCTGGAGTCTCGGTATATTTTTTTCATGTATTTTTCCCTCTGAACAGGAATTTCCAGTCAAAATTGGAGGAAGACGGACAAATAAGAATAATTCAGGCATGAAGATCACGCATTTCAGCATTTTTGATGGATGTGCATCTCTCAGAGAAACGCCAAAATGTGTGATGCCAAACGGGTTAGGTTTTTCGTGATGTACATGTCATGGGATGAGAAAAGTTATTTTCTCAAGTTTCAATTTCTTAAAAAAGAAATCTTATTTTTCAGCAACAGAATGATTCAGAAAAACCCAACAACGCTCCCGGTTCCATGATATCTCCAGAACCGGCTCGGAGGTTTTTGGATACAAACGTCATGTGTAATTCTCCGTCTGCAAATTACTACAAACCGACAGACGAACCAGAGCCATGGGACATCACCCAATTGAACATTGAAGCTAGTGTCATGTGTTTAGTTAGTAAGGTCAAGTTTTTGTGTGGAAGGTAAGTTTCACCATTAATTGGCATATTTTATCAGAAGATGAAAATTGCGCTTGCGTTGACCACTATGCTGAATTGCAAAAAAAAATCCGAACACCCAAAAGGAGCCGTAAAAAAATAACGTGAATCTACGACCATGGCCTGCTCGCTCTCCAGACTTATCACCATTCGAACATATGGGAAATGTGATCGGCATCCGGCTACGTGATTCCCGACACTAAACAACCTACTTGGCAATATTGCTACCAGTAAACGTGTATTTATCTTTGTAGGTGTGGTAGTCCAGCAGTGAGGTTAAAACAAGGCTCTAGGGGGAGTATAGGGGCAAGGAGGGCAGTTGTAACTGACCAACCTACAGCTCAAAATGGCGTTGCTGCCACTGAAATTGGCAAAGATGCCGAAGCTGTATCAAAGGCTGTTAATAAGGTTGTGAGAAATGGTGAGTTTTCGTATTAAAACGGTTCACTAAGAGTCGCCTGTTCACTTCATTTGTCTGGACATATTTGACACTTTGCAGTCATGGCCATATTTGACACTGCAGTCATGGCAAGAGATTATTTTCATAATCGATTTTCTTAATACCTGTTTCAATTTGTTTTTGTCACCAGTACCATCTGTCACTAACTTGTACAAAAGTCGATAAAAGATGATGCCATCTGGGCCTAAATGTGTACAACTTCTGCGCCAGCCGAAATATCATTTTCTAAAACGGAAAATATTGTTAAAATAGCAGTATTTTAGGGAAAAGATTATCAACGTTATTATTCTGAAACTCCCTAACTGAACATTAATGACATTCAATCTTTTTAGTTTTTTGATCGTTTAAACTTAAAATTTAGTATTTTAGTTTCAAGTCCATAGGTTGGGGTTTTGTTTTTATATATTCTAATCAAAGGCACTGATACTGCACATTTGTGGCAATAATTTTATTATTTTAAGCTCAAAAACTTTTGCTTTGTATTTTAGGTTTATATTTGTTGCGCTCAGCGTGTTTTTATTTTGATTTGAATTAATGTTTTTTTGTTTTGAAGCCAGAAAGTTGTCGTTTTCTGATCCTGATCATCATCATCTAATTTGATTTCTATTCTAATAAATGGTTAATGTTGATTTCTCGATTTTATCATCAAAGACATACAGTTTTTCGTCTATCATAAAAATTATTATTTTTCTTTTAAAATCGATTTTCACAAACCGATTAATATTGAATCGATTTTTCGTTAACTGTTTTTTTTTTATTCATTGCCACATACCGACAAATACGCCCCCCTAGGAAGAGGTGGTCCTATTCAATTTCGACCTTTGCGTAGTTTTCAACTTCGATTTTTGTTCTTACGACTAAACATTCAGCATCAAGCGTCAAATTAATGATTGAAAAGCAGAGATAAGGCAGGCCTCAAATTGAAAAACGCCGCCTCTGATATTTGACAACTCTCCTGCCATTCTCAAATGACACGGCAAATAAGACGCCTCGAGAATTCACATGTGGTTTTGTGTTTCGTCAAGACATTCAAAGTTAAAACCCTTTATTATGTAATATGCATAATACCTGTCATATTATTTTAGGAAATAAGTTCACAGATGGTCTAGACTTGAACAAAATAAACGACTGGGCAGCGGAGCTTAGACCCAGCATGAGAAAATTAAGGCAAGCAATGGACGGTTTGTTAAAAACGGCCCGATTGACACATTCTGTCTTCAGAGTGCAAGAGGACCCTAAGGCTGCTCAAAGGGTGTGCAATGTTAGGTATAGGAGAGACGTTTGTTTTTCGCAAGCGGTAAGTACAAAATAGAACATTAGCCTAAAAATATACATAAAACAGAGCCAAATGTGCTATCGACTTCTATATTGGACTGGAACTAAAAGGAAGATCTCCCATGTCTAGACGTCAAGTAGATTGTCTCTTGTACTTGCCACGTCTTTTATTCTGGCCAGAATAACTTTGTATATGCATCATTTACCGTATCTCAGTCAACTTTTGTACTTTCTGGTATCTCCATTATTTGCTGGCGAAAAATCATTGTATCCTGGCATAAGGTCATAGTATGAATAACAGTCAAAAAAAAAACATTGCCCATTTGGCAAAAAATGAAATTATAGGCTTTTAGTACGCATGAATCAACTTTCTTATGATCTGGTAGGTTTACTATTGGTTAGCTATGGAAACAGGTCATGAAATATAATGAATATGTTTGGAGAAAAAGTATTGTGATTTTTTTTTGAAATTATCGAGGTCAACTTTCGGACGCCCTGGTATTATTTGCTTGAGGAAGAGGTACTTAAATAGATGAGATTCTCCGTTCTACAAAATATCTTCATTTTCGCAAAAAAACTGGTGAACGTCTATTCGTTATTTCACACCTGAATAATTAAAACCCGAATGTTGTCACCCTAGCTGATTATTTTTTTCAATAAATTAATCTTTCCCGGTAGTCACAACTGTTACCTTGCCGAGCTGTCATTGACTTTTTCTCATCAGTTCAGATACACGGACCAATTTTCAAAAACTATAAAGCTGTTTCATCCTTGGCATAGTAGTTACCTTGTGAGAAAATTTCATCAAAACCTGAGCGGTTCTTTCAAAGGTATAGTCGGGCTAACTATTAGCAGTCAGACAGGACTACAGACAGACTGACGGAAATGAGTGACATGTTTTTTTTTGTGATGTACATGTCATGTAAATTTTTTTTTCGCGATTACAATGCTTCCTCACCAGTAGGCATCGAAAGTAAAACCGATAGTTATGTTTATTTTGTTTGTTTCAAATTTATTTAGCATTAATGCTACAATATCCATAATATCCATATTACACAGTATATCACATATTCAAGACTACATATTTCACTACTATGAATTCTGGTTTTCCATGAGATATTTTTTCAATTTCCCTTTGAACATTTTCAAACTGACACACATCTTGATATCATTACTTAATTTATTAAATTCGTACAATCCCTTTTGAAATACTGACTTGCTCGTTATATTGCTACTGCAGTTTTGTAAATGAAAGTCTATACTTCCTCTAGTAGAATAATTGTGGCACTTATCGTTCAATACAATAAAATTTTCTAAGCGATTTGGTAGAAGATGATTTTTTAACTTGAATATGAAAATGAAAACCAAGTAGGCTATGAAATTTTGAATATTTAACCATTGTAGTTCTTTCGGCATAAAATTTATTCTAGTATATTTATTTTTATTTAAGATGATTCTCGTAGCTTTATTTTGTAATATTTGTAATTTTGAAAATACAGTTTCATTTGTAGTGAACAAAATAGTTGTTAATAACAGCACGAATCTCAAACAGTTCTCGAAAATGTTCACGCATGACGCACTTCAACGTCTTTGTTGTTTTTTTTATAAAAACTTCATTTTTCCCCCAGTTGACGGCACTGGTGACAGGGCTGATGACGCGCCTATGGTGCCATAAATCAGACCCAACGTTCGTGACCATTCTGAGCACGTTGGGCCCCTTGGCCGTTTTCGAGGGTCTGCTCAGCTACTACGGTCATGAAATCGACATGTGGGGCGACATGTCCATTGCCATCGAAGATTTGCGTACAGTGCTGTTCATCTTGGTCAGGAGTCCTAACCCGGCCACGGAGCCCTATCCTACGCCTAAGGTTGGGGGCACCAGAACAGCGCTCACGGTAAGGACGATTTGTTCATTTCGTTGGGCTGTGTAATTACGGAATTTTCTTCAAAAATGATGTTTTGAATTTTTGGAAAAATTTGCCAATGCTGAACCAAATTTCAGAACCTACGTTCCTGGTATTGTAGTAGTGTTATTTTTTTCGTAAATATTTTTCGGACAGTACTTTCCGAGTTATAGAGAACAAACAGATAGAAGATAGTCGTGAAAAATCTCGACTTGGAAATTGTTCCGCGATTGAAATACTTTCTCATTAATTGGAAAGTCAAAATATTTCTCTTAATTATATCTATGTTCCGCTAGGTGTCACTGCCTGTACCTGACGCTCTATACAGCCTAATACCTACAAGGCAAACGTTGTCTTTCCACGTCACTCCGGTATTTTTCAATATCGGAATAAACGAAATGGCTACAATTGCGGAAAGTATAGGAGCTACAAGGCCACAGGAAAGATCGAATATGGACAATTTCGAAAGGCTGAACGAATATTTTCTTAGGTAAGAGGTTCATTCTATGCGACGGTCGTTTCAAAAAGTTACACTATTCTATTTGTGGAGTGGAGTTTCCATAATTGTTGGAGTACTGGTTGCAACATCTGATATTGACTCGATACTTTATTGAAATTGGATTTAAAATTAACAAAAGATAATGGTATATATTCAACATTGTTTTTCAGGTATAAAAAATTGAATATCCCCGAATCCAACGTCTCCTCGGGAAGAATGCTCTACTGTTCGCCTCAAATGCGATCACTGAGCGAACTAATGATAGACTTGAAGAGCTCAGTACACAGTTCCAAAGCCAAAAACGTTGAAATTCTGCATTTGGCTGCGCATATTTGCAGGCTGATGAAAGGTAGATTAAGAGTAATTAATATGCAGGGTGACTTTGAAGTTGAGTCATTAATTTTCAGATAATGATTGTAGAAGGAAGATAAACCAAAATATGTGTGTAAAAATAAAAAAAAAATGTTTACCTTGTTTTATAAAGTATCCTCCCGCCAAGTATTTCAGTGCGGACCTGTATTTGATCGTGCGGTCTTGGAGCACCGGCATGCCCTCCCCTGTGTGTACTACATTAACAAAGGCACGAGGGGTTGGTTGCACTCGATTGGGAAACCGATCCGCATAAACATGTGCCATTTTTTATTTCGTTTGAGCCACGCAACAGACACTATTCACACGCGACTGACACTGACTGTATGTATAACTGAACTGAATAAAATAATTGCAAAAACATCGTTCCAAATTCTTTCGCTTTTTTGTTTCCGATGCGATGAACCGATAAGGCGGATTATATCCGTTGTTGCCAAACACGAGCACATGATATTATTGAGACAGGGCGGTACTCAAACTTCCAAAGGGCTATAACTTTGTTACTTTAATTTTACCAGAAAAATGGTAAAGGAAAAAACATTTCTTTTGATCAGATCTACTCACTGTTAAAATAAATGACTCAACTTCGAAGTCACCCTGTATGTCTGAATAAACATTTTTTTTTCACAATCCTGTTTCGAGTGAGAATATTTTTTCTAATGTTGTTCTAGTAGACTTGCACGGGTCCACAATTTTTGAGTTGGGTGCTGAATTTGTGTCAAATTTTATTTGTAGGAATCAGATTTACCAGTTGTAAAAGTGCCAAAGATAGGACAGGGATGTCCATTACGTTAGAGCAATGCCAGATATTAGCTGATGAGTACCATTTAGCTGAGCACGAGTTTCAAAAAGCGTTGGATTGCATGCGAAGGTAAATTTTATTCCGTAATTTAAAGAAAAAAGGAAACTGCCCATGATTCCAAGCCAGTTTACGAGACGCGAAAACCTTTCATTTGTACCAGAAATATTTTCCAACTCGATTTTTTCACAGTTGTGTTTGTTAGCAAGAATCACAAGGTTGTAAATTTTCTTTAACACTTTTTTAAAACATAAAAAATTGATTTTTTTCGTGGAAACTGCCCATGATACCAAGCCAGTTTACGAGACGCGAAAACCTTTCATTTGTACCAGAAATATTTTCCAACTCGATTTTTTCACAGTTGTGTTTGTTAGCAAGAATCACAAGGTTGTAAATTTTCTTTAACATTTTTTTAAAACATTATAAAAAATTGATTTTTTTCGTGTGTCGTTTTTATTCATTTCTTTCGTTGCGGACATTTTTTTGCATCATTCTGAACAATAGTTGGTCTGGTAACTTTTTTCTAACGTTGGACGTTTTGGAGTCATAAGAGAAAATTCTGAAGAACCCTTAAAATGCCATCTTCAATGCCTCAGAACTTAGTAGTATTTTAACCTTCTTTTACACGGTCCCGAATAGTACTTGTGCTTAGTTTTTTCTTAAACATTGTTATTTAATTGTTAGTAATGCGCTATCTGCTCGGAAATATTTTGGGTATCATTAAAAAAGGACACCTATTAAGGAATCTGCATGTTGCCAGACCCAAAATTGCGTCAAAAATTGTTTGAATAATATTTTAAACGAATTTTTTTCGCTCCGGACATGGAGTTATTCGTTAGATATTCGATGATGCGTTCCAAACTTTTGTTACCGTCTGTATATCTCAAAAACTATCAGCTTTGGAAAAAAAATCATGAGAACCTTTTTTGTTCAGAATGACCGAAAAAAAAACAATTTCTGGAATTCGCTTAAAGAGAATTATTATTATACAGGGTGACTTTGAAGTTGAATCATTAATTTTCAGATAATGATTGTAGAAGGAAGATAAACCAAAATATGTGTGTAAAAATAAAAAAAAATTAAAAAAAAAATGTTACCTTGTTTTCTAAAGTATCCTCCCGACAAGTATTTCAGTGCGGCCCTGTATATGATCGTGCGGTCTTGGAGTCACCTGATTCACGGCCCTTTGTACTACATTAACAAAGGCACGAGGGGTTGGTTGCACAAATCTGTGATGCCGCGGCAGCATTTTGTAAAGACTCCCCCCCCGTAAATAAGAATCATGTCCACAAGTTCAGCATTTTCGTAAACATGTGCCATTTTTCATTTCGTTTGAGTCACGCAACAAACACCACTATTCACTCACGCGTTACCGACTGACGAAAAACATCGTGATAAACGTTTCAAATTCTTTCGCTTTTTTGTTTCCGATGCGATGAACCGATAAGTCGGATTATACCCGTTGCTGCCAAACACGAGCACATAATATTATTATTGAGACAGGGCGGTACTCAAACTTCTAAAGGGCTATAACTTTGTTACTTTAATTTTACCAGAAAAATGTTAAAGGAAAAAAACATTTCTTTTGATAAGATCTACTCACTGTTAAAATAAATGACTCAACTTCGAAGTCACCCTGTATAGGCGGTCCTTTTTTAACAAGATTATGTAAAGAAATCACAAACAAAAATTCTGAGCAGATGTGAATAAATTATTTTTCTGAGAACATCTTTTTTGACTTTCAGTGAGGGCTGTCGAAAGGAAAACACGTTAAAGAACATCGGAGTGGCTAAATACGCCTTCAATTCGATGCAACTATTGGCCTATCCCCGATCGTATAGACCGCCGCCTGGAACGTACGGTTCAGCACAAACGTAGTCAGTCAAATCGCACAGATGTATACCCAATTACTTCTTTGTATGGAATTCTACATATTATGTGTAAAAAGTTGGTGCCTAAAATGGATACCGGTATTTTTAGAACAACAATCATTTTAAAACAAAATATAGAAAAAAATCACAGTTTCGGTAGTCTTAATAATAAATTAGCGGTGCACACACTAGACCAACCAATCATTTTTTTCATCTGGCACGATTTTTACATCCAATCAGCACTGTAATTAACTTTCCAGTAAAGCAACCCTTCCTTATGCGGAATATTATTTTTTTAACTTAGTTATAGATCTTAACGCATAGAATAAAAGTTGGCTGTCGATATCCTAGTTCAAGTGCAATAACACGGTCAGCAATAGCTGTTTGGTGTTTATTTACAGTCTTATCAAAATCCACACAGACAACACCGCATACGATATATTTTACTTTTTCAGCTATTTGTCGGGAAAGTATTGCGATAATGTGGAAGTATTTCTAAAATTTTGATATAAACCCAAGACGAAAAAGCTTCGTGCGTTTCAAAAACTGATCCAGTGCCGGCAGAGTCATGAACAGAAAACAATTTCAGAACGTTCGGATTCGATGTTTGATCACTTTTACGAGAACGCGAAAATATTTTTTGGGAGGTCGAGATTTTTTCAAATCTAAACATATTCAAAAAGAATTTATAGAATAATTTACATTGAAGCATAATATGCATAATACTACGCTTATTGTATCAAGGAATAAAAAGCTTTGTAGTTTTTCAAAATCGGTCCAGTGGTGTGGGCGTGAAGGGCAAAAAAAAATCAAACTTCGTTTTTTGACGTTTCAAAGGCTCCTGATCATTTTTAGAAGAATATTGGTAGGAGTTAAAAATCGGGGGTGTCACTTTTTGGCCGCAGTATGATGACAGCATTGCATGGAAGGTACAGAGTCAATCTACTTGACGCCATTTTTTTAGTATTCAAGGCTATTGCTGGCCATATCTCTAGGGGCTCTTTGATATATTCCATAAATATTTGCAATTTTGTTCTACGTGTTGAGATCCTGCTAATTCCGATTTGTAAAAATGCCATTTTTCATAAGGATTCTGCATGTTAATTTACCTAGATGCATAATCTTTCGGTTTTTACTATTAATACCACAGTTGAATTCATGTAGTACCAACTTAACGGCTGTTGCGAATATCCATACGAGTATTGAAAAAAAAAATGAATTAGATAATATGAAAAAAGTTTTACTTAAATCAAGGTGCCAATTACTCTATAGTCATATTTTATTACTTATATGTTAATATTTATTGTTATTGATACGTTTTGTAGTTAACATGTTTAATATATTATTTACATTTTTTATTTATGTTTAATAATTGGTGTATTTGAAGAATTATAGTACACGGGACATTGTCCTTTCTTTTAGATATGTCTATTGATCAAATAAAAATATTTTATTTTGATTAAGAGTTTTTTTTTACGTCTATAGGTAACCTCAGAAACTAGTCGCAATCTACGTCCTAACAAGGATTTTCCTATAGAGCAGCAGAAAAAAATCGATGTAATAAAAAAATCGGTATAGGGACAATCTGTGCACTAGCTGGTCGCTAGTCCACGCCAGCTATGAAGGAACGCAACAACGACCTATACACAACTTATCCGACAAATTTTAACGACATATCCAATGTTACGAAATAAGTTGATTTCTCAAAAAAAATTGTAATAAAAGTCCTACAGAAATCGAGATAATAAAATAATACAGTTTAACAGTTCACCTACATATAAAAGCTTCCACAATATCTAAAATTTCGTCTCCGGAATTTGAAACGCGTTGTGGGCGAACCCGATCCCTATCCACTCCACGTCTGGGGCGCAAATCTCCAATAAATAGCACCTGCACGTAAAACAAGTGAACTACGAATATACTAAGTGACATATAAATCCGAACACCCAGTTTAAATGGTTTTATTTTAATAAAAGTTGGTGAATGTATTTATCTTACTGTAAATAACAAGTGAAAACATTTTCAGCCTTATCAGTTGGACATTCCGGTTTTTTTACTGATTTTTTTTAATTCACTAACGCCCTAAAAATGAATATTTCAGCCGCAGTAAAGAATCAACGTTGGCGGATTTTGGTTCTTGACATCCTTTACGATCGGTTACGATGCCTAGAGTACGGAGACCTGTACAATTTCGTCAACTTAGTGAGTTTGATAGGGGCCGCATAGTGGGACTTCGGGAAGCTGGACTTTCTTTTCGGGCAACTGCAGTTAGAGTGCAAAGAAGTGTAGACACTGTGGTTAGGTGTTGTCAGGCATGGCTTCGAGAAGGCCTTACGCAAAGAGCAAGGGGCACTGGACGCCGCCGTAGAACAACAGACCGTGAAGATCGCCGCCTAAGATTATTGGCGTTAAGGGACCGTTTCTCCACTACCAGGTCCATTGCAAATGAATGGTTTGCAGAACACGGAAGACCTATTGGCATGCGAAGTGTTTACCGACGAATGAGAAGTTTTGACTTGTTTTCATACCGGCCACACTGGGTCCTCCCTTTAACTCGAGAACACCGACGTAATCGCCTTGAGTGGTGCAGTCAACGGTCACTCTGGGATCAGGAATGGAACAGTATTGTCTTTAGTGACGAGTCTCGATTTTGTTTAGGCATGCACGATGGTCGTGCCAGGGTTAGAAGGCGACGTGGTGAAAGGAGGAATCCACAGTTTTTTGTTGACAAGACATGTTCATCACATTGTTGGAGTTATGGTTTGGGGTGCTATAGCTTATGGTTCCAGGTCACCTTTAATCTTCATCAGAGGTAACATGAACGCGCAGCGTTATATCCACGAAGTTCTAGAACCCCCATCTTTTACCCTATCTTGACACCCTGGCAGATCCAACTTTCCAACAAGATAATGCCCGACCACATGTTGCAAGAGTCACAATAGACTTCTTTCAACATAATGATGTCACATTGTTACCATGGCCACCAAGATCTTCCGACTTATCCCCAATTGAGCACGTGTGGGATATGATGGGTAGGAGATTGCTCAATTTGCAACGTCCTCCTCAGACTCTAAAAGCACTTCGAGAGGAGTTGGTGGTTGCCTGGAATGAGATACCACAGGAGGACATTGACCACCTGATCAGAAGCATGCCTAGGCGCGTTGGAGAATGCGTAGCACATCAGGGTGCTTCCACACATTATTAAAGGTCAAAGGGCTTTAAAGCAGTGCAATCATTTTGAAATTTTTATCATTTACTTATTATGCTTCATTAAGTACTTATACAAAATTTTATTAAAATAAAACCATTTAAACTGGGTGTTCGGATTTATATGTCACTTAGTATATGTTTCGTGAGAGAGATCCAAGAATCCCAGGAATTAGCGCTTAGGAAAATCTGATTCAGAAACTTCAATGAATTTTGTTTTATTTTCCATAAATCCGTGACCTTTATCGAATCTAACTATAGAACATATACCTTTAAATTTTTTGTGGGCATGAAAGCTTTTATCAAGCCGAGATGCAGATATAATTTCACGATTAATTTGGCTGTATTTTGAACTCCACAGTCCACATGTTTAAAAGTACGACACGAGGTCTGTAAAGTAACAAGACTGGCAACGTAGCGTTCGATCTGGCAACACTGAAGGCGCCAGGCTTGGGAGGAAACAGGGGAACATGTGATCCGCCTTCAGTACAAGTTTGAATTCGGTCGAGTCATTTGGTGGTCCGTAGCGATTTTTTCTGTGAAAAAGTTGAGTCGGAATGATCAGGAAAGAGTTGAAGGATGACAAAAATCTGGGCAAAAATGCTCCCAAAAACCTTTCGCAAGACCAAAAGGACTTTAGGAAAGAAAGGTGCGTTGACTTTTTGGATCCGATTGAAAACGACCCCCATTTTCTGGAACGTGTCATTACTGGTGATGAGTCTTGACTGTTTGAGTGCGACCTAGAAACTAAGTGCCAGAGCGTGGAGTCCAAAAAAGCAGTAAAGATGAAGGCGAAAACATTCAAACGGCTGTAACTGACCAGCTATTCCAGTATCGGAGTTCCGGCACTGCTATGAGGAGTGGAAGAACCGTCTCCAGCGCTGTGTGGCTTCAGAAGGAATTTATTTTGAGGATAACAACATAAATTTGTAACTATATTTGAACAAAAAAATGAAAAAAGTCGGTCTCATTACTTAATTTACATACCTCGTATGTTAACTAGCACTGAACCTAAGCATATCGGATTCGATAACGAACAATACACAACAAGCTTTTAACAATCCATACCGAGACATCTTATTACCAGCTCAATCAGCATTCCAAAATCACAGCTACCAATCGGACGTCAAATAGGTTAACTGATATGTATTTACAAAAACACAAACCGAGTAAATAATGAACTTTAATCGTTTCAAATATAATACAACACAGCGCGTCCGTGAGCGTGTTGTAAATTGTCATCAACATGAGTTGAACGTGTTCGTACTTGATTGCATGTTTCGGGCGACTTTCGTAGGAAAAAAAGTGCGTCGGGAGTGCAATGAGGGGTTACCTCGGATGCGGAGATTGGTGAGTAAGGTCTACTATGTGTCAATTTTGAAAAATTGTCCAAATGACTCGGATATGTTGAGCGATATCAGCACGCGTTCAAACGTTGCCGTTGACGCGTTGCGTCGATAGTAATACGAAATATGCCGGGGTCAAACGCGGTTGTACAATATCGTTCACAGGTTGGGAATGCGGTTGTATTTTGACTGGAATTCATTTTTGTTTTATTATTTTAATGTGACAATCAATAGATGAATCAATGTTTGCCAAGAAAGTCGGCAAGCTGGAGTGTGTTTTGTAAGGCTTAAGAAGTAATATTGTTGGATGCGCTGATATCGTGTGACAGTGGAATACATTAATAGTGGGTATTATTACAGGGTGTGTCCGGAAAGTAATAGGACTGAGTCGATTTAAAAAAATTATTGAGGCAATCGTTACAATTCTTTAAAAACTTTCAAAATAGGCTCCTTCTGCGTCGATGCAGCGCTACTAGCACGATTTCCAAGAATTGAAGGCGTCACGGAAGGCATTCTCCGGAAGGCACATCTGGGCTGCGGAAGCGTTAGATTGCCGGCCTTGGTCAGGTAGGTGTTCACAAGAAAGGCAGTGTGAGCCGGGGCGTTGTCTGGTGCAACTTCCAGTCGGCTGCGATGTCTTGTCGGACCCGACTGACCATTCGTTTGAGTCTCCTGAGCACTTCCACGTAAAACTTGGCGTTGACGGTTTGTCCAGGAGGAACAAGTTCATGGTGGACGATGCCTTTGATGTCAAAAAAGACAATGAGCATCGTTTTCACTTTGGATTTGTTCATTCTTCCCTTTTTTGGGCGAGGAGATGCCGTCGTGTGCCACTCGGAAGATTGCCTATTTGTCTCGGGATCATACTCAAAGATCCACGACTCGTCACCTGTGATTACGTTATTCAAAAATTGGGGGACACTTTCACACATATTCAAATTTTCTTGGCACAGTTCCACTCGCCGCAATTTCTGGTCGTCAGTGAACACTTTTGGGAGCATCGTCGCGCACACCTTGCGCATGTTCAAATGCTGTGTCACAATGTCATAAACCACAGATTTTGGTAAATTTAACATCTGGGCAATTAAACGAATACTTAGTCGACGGTCCGAGTTCAAAACTTTGCGCACACGAGTCACATTTTATCGGTGTTTGTCGAAGTCGAAGGTCGTCATCAGCGACCTCTTCCCGGCCCTCCAAAACGGCCTGGTGCTACCGAAACACACCACTTCTTGCTAAAGCAACACCTGGGTAAGCCTGCTTGATCATATCAAACGTCTCTGTCGCAGATTTACCGAGTTTCAGACAGAATTTAATCGCGTACCTCTGCTTTAACGAACGCTGCTATTTCGGCTTGCATCACTCACAGAAACACGTTGCGCGAAAATGCCTGTCCTGACTCTCCAAGTGCTCGGAGACAACTGACCAGCCGCGCATTCGTTAGCTAAGAACGCCCACTATCGAAGCCAGTCGGTACGCGCACGCTCCGAAGTACAGTCATGGCGGAAGAAAATGAGTCCGATTACTTTCCGGACAAACCCTGTATACTTGACGCCATTTTTTAATATTAGCTAAATTATAATTTCAGTGCGCAAGTTATAGTAAACTGTTTTTGAACAATTGAAATTTCAGATATGTTTTATTGCTGAATTAACAATATGTTTTGTAATAATTAATAAAAACAACTAATGGATTGCTCATCCCCACGATCACTCCTTACAATTTTTAAACAGATGAACCGATTTCAATCAAACTTTTAACTAAGAAATATTCCGTTAAACAAGATTTTTGATTGAAAAAACGCACTAATATCGGTTTATCCGTTTAGGTTTTTTTACTTAAGTTGACCTAATGATCTGAATTTTAAGCCTGCTAA